TTGGAAGATCAATTTGTTCCTCAGCTTATAATTCCTTGTTGATGTCAGCGGATTACTGTGTTGTGACTCCTCAACTGTCCAATAACAGTTATTGTAAACAAACTATTACTGTATGATTTGTCCTTCATTCAAAGACGCCTTAATATAAGGACTGGAAACGTTCAGTCTCGGGGTTTAAAACTTGGGTCCATTGTGTAAAATGTATCGACACGAAATCATTTGTCTCCCAGAAACGCTCACTCACACCACCAACACACTGATTCAAATATAAACATACCTACTTCTCCACACACACACACAATCACCACCATACGCCTCCACATCATCTCCCGACCACAGAGGCACACAACGGTACAACAAATGCCAATAGTTATCTTTTACCGAGGATGGTACACGGTGTTTGGCGAGTTAGAGTGTTTGTTAAAGCTCTTTAAGACGAAGATCAGAAACACCACTTCGTCTTACAAAACTCACTCGCTCATTAGACTTCCCTAAACCTTTCCAGCGTCAAAGTGTGTCGTTAATTTGTCAAGTGTTCAATGAAAACAAATTTGCTACACCTAAAGCTCTGAAAGGCGTCATTGATTATCAGGATGGAATAGTGAAGTACATAAAACTGGTAACAAATTGTTAGAAAATGATGAATGTTAAAAGTAATTACTGTTCATTCATTTACGAGATGCAAGAAATGTGTAATGTTATTTCCAGTTGTCAGTGGACTGGTGAACATGGCAGAGGGAAAAAGCAAAAAATAAATGGCATGTTTCTGTTACCGCATACAAAATATTACATTGAAGCAGCACAATATATTTTTGAGAGCCATGGCTTTACTTACATCCTACCTGCTGTGTTTTTTTTCACAAGATTCTCTGGAAAAAAATGGACAAGCAAGGCAACGCAGTGCAGAAAATTTATATATTGTTATTGGGGAACATTTTATGACATAAGCTGTAAGTTTTGTACAGCAGCAACAGATGATAATGATTTACAACTCCTACAAGAGCCGATACTACAGTACTTGACACTTAGTTCCTTCTAGATTCGGATGATAACTTTAAGCATAACATTGTCGTTATTCGGGGACTTCTAGTTCATAAACATGGACAGCCGGAAGTAGATTCTGGGGAATGTCTGCCATCAGAGTTTGTAACGGAGATGAAATGAGGTGGTTGGTCTAAGTATGCCAACACTGGTTACTGTCTTTTTTTGTCTCTTCACGATTCAAAAATATATATTACCGCAATTACTTGAAATAATGTCTATCATATGTAGATGCTCCTCTAAAAAAGCCATTTAATAGCATGCCAAACTTTGTCTTATGAGTTATTCAAAGCCTTTGTGTTTAATAATAGTGATCGTGAGAGCACACTGGCAGCTTAAGGTGCCAAGGGGAACTTCCTATGCTTTGAGCTGATAAGTGTGTCGATCGCTTACACGTTTCTTTATAATATTATCTATTATTTAACTATTGTCAGTCATATAAAGGATGTTTGAGTTGTTTATCGCAGTTTTCTTTATAAAAGTATTTTGTAAAACATGTGTCATTATTATTCAGATATTTTTCAACAATATTCAGTCATTTAAGTGACTCATAAAGGTTAATTCACAAGAAAAAATGTTTTATTTTCCTTTATTTGGTTCGTTAAAAGTTAATTAATAAGAGATTAGAGCCTAAAAAAATCTCAAACCAAGTGCAACTGAATTAACAAATCAAACTGTGAAGCCATCAATGGACCCAAGTTCCCGTATAAATACAATTTTCGGCGTCACTACGACCAAATTGTGTAAAGAAGTGCACTGACACACACACACAGGACTGATGACAACCCCGAGACGACAGCTGGTCTATTTCCCTTCAGGAGCTTGACGCCTTTATCGGATTGGTGTTGGCTCGTGAGACTTTCCTCGCAAAGAACCTTTATGTGGACAGCCTCTGGAAGGGCACCTGAGGGTCACTCTTTTTCCACCACACTATATCACCAAAATAGGTTCAAACAACTTCTGAGCTTTGTGTAGTTTGATATGGAAGTCAGGTAGGCTGCGGTGTATGTAAACAGACACGGTTGTACTGGTCTCAGTAGTGTGGACCCTCCTTATTCCACACCACATTCACCACTACAATCAGGGAACGTATATGTAATCCTGACCAACATATAACCAATAAACTTATGAAAATTAGGATTATATTGTGGTTAGGAGCTGCTGGACTGTTACCCATACCTGCTAGGATGTTAAATCATGCTGACTGAAGCCTTACTGATGACTTAGATAAGACTGATAAGAACGTGTCATCGTGATCAATACACTTCACATGAGTGTTATAAACTACAATGTCTGGACGAAGACCCCCTGAGACGGTGGCTTTTACAGAGCAGCATCAAACTTAAGGGTGGATGTAGCGGATCAGATGGCCAGGTCCCAAAGATGACCACTCCAAGCATAAAACATCCTAGACCTGTATAGAGCGTTGGTGGTCAAGCGGATCAACACACGGGAAGGATATGAAGGAAGCGCAAGAAAAGAATTCATATAATGCACTAAGATACTAAACCATGCGAAGAAGAAACCTCCAACAACTAGTCATCAGCTGAATACCGAAAATAAGTTGTATATTTCCCAGAACCAGAAAAGGTAAACAAAAAAATATCATCAGAACCCAACAGATGACTTAAAAATCAAACCAACCCATCGTAAAATGACAACAATATTCTAAACAAAATTCAACAGTGTATGTAGTAGTGATGGCCAGCACGAGGTGTACATTACCAGAACAACATGATACTCGTACATCAGGGAATAAACTGGCAGGGTAAAGGAGGAACATACAGTATATATATATCAAACTTGCAGAGGAGTGCGAACTTATTGTCTCTTCCTATCATACCAGTTGTTGTTCCCTGAAGGAGAGGGCATTGGGAACAGTACACAACATCAGAGTTTGAATTACGACACCAAAACTTAACTTCATTGGTATACTCTGAAGACACCTAACAAGAGAAATAAAAACAAACAAACATAATAATCGTCTTCTGGTGAACCTGAGGTGATGAAGGATGGTGTACAGCTTAGACACACACACACACACACATACACATACACACACAAGCTAGGCACGGACTCGGAGACGAAGACCGAAAATTAAGGGTGATAAACTAGATAGACAGGAAGAAGAGAAGAGAAGATGAGAGGTAGGAAGAGAGAGAGAGAGAGAAGGGGGAAGGGGGAAGGATGCGGCGCGACTTAATAATTTACAAGAGACCAGAGGCTCCTGTCGGCTCTCTGTCGGGTCTTTTGTCTTCATTATTATTTAGTAATTATTATATTACTGGTTGTATGGTTGCATGTATGAACTGAGGTTCTTGGTGTATAGTATAGTATCCAGTCAGTCAGTCATTGCTGTAGTGTGTTCAGTCAGCCAGTCATTGTATAAAATGTGAGTGTGAAATGGACTGTATTTAATGAACTGTTTCCAGGGTCATATGCAAATTGTGTGTGTGTGTGTGTTTGTGTGTGTGTGTGTGTGTGTGTGTGTGTGTTTGTGTGTGTCTGTGTGTGTGTGTGTTGTGTGTGTGTGTGAACTCATAAAATAAATTTGGACTGACTTTCATTTTTCACTTTATATACACCGTCACTGAGCGAAATAAAAGAACCACAACTCACTGTAGGTCTTTCATTTAGTCCAGTGACGTACGGTATGTCAACAAATACACTGGGACGTAAACAAAATAAAAACAGAGTTAACAATGAGAGTAATGACAAGAAAACAAAAAAATATCATTTTTTATCTCGATTTTTTCAGACAATATAATAAATATATCATAAATGCTAAAGTTAATATTTACAAAATAATTTTGTATCTATTTTAATTTTATTTATTTATTTTTTTTAATAAGAACGATAAAAAATGCACAACAAATTACTACCGGAACTGTTGACAAATTTTGGAGGGTTGCTGATTACGACACGCACATACACACACACGCACACAATCCACTAGTAATAAATGAATACTCGCATATAATTCACAATCACATTAAAACTCCCCGTCAGTGTGCACAGGCCGGTCAATATCTCTCTTGTTTTGTGAGAATAAAAAGAAGTTGTGTTCTCTCTCTCTCTCTCTCTCTCTCTCTTCCAAGAAATACTTTGTCGAGGTTCACCAACTGTGTGACTATACACTTCACCTTACCACCTGAATTTAGGGAGTAATTACAAATATTAATAAAAATAAAGATAAAAATACATATATAAACATCAGGTTTCCATTACTCTAAAAGTCATTACTAACTAACTGTTAAGTCGTTGGGAGGGCGTGGTTAAACCCATTTGTGACGTCAAATTCCATCATAATACACACTCCTCCCTGCGGCAGGTGCCTATAGCGTGTCACTGCTGCAGCTGCATGACAAGACTGCTATAAGAACCCGTGATGACCTAAGCTATACTTTCAATAGGTCACACTACACCGAGGAGGTGGTCAGGGCAGCTACAGAGGTCCTGTGTGAGATCTTGGCCTGTAAAATTGACTTGGTTAAGGACGTTGTGGGGCGAGGAAGAAGGTCCCTAGAGGTACAGTATACCGAGGTTGTTGGCTACACCTCCATCTTTAAAGAACGTAATTCAGAGCTTCAGACGACTGCCACCTGTTGCCTTGGACCATGTCGATCTCCTGAGACAACTTTGTGAGACACAGGTGATCTACGAAATCCCTGAACAGGAAATAACAGAAGGTAACTCAACAGAACACGAGGTAACACACGGGGAGAGATTATCATAGAGTCTTCATAACACCAGCGAACATTTGTGGAAGAAACTAAACACCTAAGTCTTATTTTGCCTTCATTATGCTCCCAATACTCCAGAATTATTCATTATAATCATTATATAACCTTAGGATATCTCTTGTCTATTATAACTTGGTGGTTGTAGTTATATAGATAGATATAAGTAGTCTGGACACCTTAACTCCCACTGGGCTGAGCATTAATAAAAAATCCAAATAAACCTTTAAATTTTATTAATATTAATTATTTGTTAACAGTAATTTGTTCACGTGGAGAAAACTTTCAAAATAACACACATTAAAGACGTCAAATTATAATAATGAATTGATATACCGAGACCATATTAAACATACTTGATTTACAGAGCTAATTATAACCTAAACTTTAGTGTTAGTGTAGTAATTGTCAGTGGCTGCTTAGGTTAGGTTAGTTATTCTACGTCTTTTTTTTTAAGTTAAAGAACAAATTAGTCAGATTCAATCAACAACTGAGAATTTGAATTGTTTAATGAACAGGACCCATGACTCCACCTGTCCTGAAGTGATCTGATTGGCATTACGTTTCTATGGGTGGGAGAGAGAAAGAGAGAGAAGCAGAGAGAGAGAAGCAGAGAGAGAGAGAGAGAGAGAGAGAGAGAGAGAAGCAGAGAGAGAGAGAGAAGCAGAGGGAGAAACACAAATAAGATAAAAATAAACATTCAGAAATACATAAACACACGAGGATTAATTACTAGCTCGGTATTTCTATTTATGTTAAGATTTTATCGTATCCTCGTCAATCATCCTATTAACATCTGCAGTACTTAATAATAATTCCTTCGCATATAACGTCGGTAATAACTCCTATAAAAATAAGCAGGTCTCATTAAACTTCGTCTAAAGCTGGGATACCCGGGTCTTTCTCTGTACAGCCTCAGGAAGCTCGGGCAGGTGAGTCGTCTCCTATCGACAACGAGGCGGAATATTGTCCTCCTGAGCCTTCTATCTTGACACAGGCTCCTCGTTAACTCCTTCACTGTGGTCGAAGCGCCTGACACCTGCGGGTGAGATTATGACGAGTGAATAACACGTAAGATTAGTGAAGAAATCAATCAGGGTGATGTTTTTTATTTTACCTTCTTTCATATCTATGTGTCTAACTCTTTGTCTATCTGTCTCTCTGTTTATCTGCCTGTCTGTCTATCTATCTATTTATCTGTGTGTGTGTGTGTGTGTGTGTGTGTGTGTGTGTGTGTGTGCGCGCGCGCCATAGATCTGGTCGCTTAGAGATGACACACAGAAGCAGTAGACTTGAAGGAGATCTTTTTATCATAATGGTCAGAGTAGAGGACAAGTAAGAGTACATTATGACACTCACAGCTGCAACCACGAAACGTCTCTTGCTCTTGATTGTGAGCCTCATGTTGTTCCTGTCTATGACTGTACCAACTGGCTCCCTCATGGCCGCCTGCATTGCCTCCGCGAACTGGGTATATAAAACATGTCATCTGAGTAAAAGTCATTGAGGAATAACTTTTAAATTTGTAAGTTACTTGTAAATAATTCAAGAGAATATATATACCTTTACGGGGAAACAAAATCAGAGACGGATTAATAAACATATATGCTTATTTAGTTGTAATGTGTTGGAGAAAGACCCAACATAGTACAGTACTTACGATGGGGGGTAACTCAGACCTACTTCGCCTCACTGTAGATACAATTAAGCACCGCCAGTTATTATTAATATACAAAAAGCCTCGGAGAAACCTATGATGAACCTAACAGAAATATAGACTCACTTGCCGGATGGTGGATGTGGTACTCCTGCACCTTCTCCTGTTAACCAACGCCATCAATTGTCTGATGCTTAGGAACATAAACTCGACTGCCATCTCATCCTCCTGCTGCCCGGACCCCACCACAAGCCGTCCTGGGGTGAACATGGACATATATTACAGCGGTTAATGTTTACCTTGACTCTGTTGTACTCCCTAAACTGTTGTCCTCTCTCACCTGTTGTCCTCCCTTACCTGTTGTCCCCCCTCATCTGTTGTCCTCCCTCACCTATTGTCCTCTCACCTATTGTTGTGCTCTCTCACCTGTTGTCCTCCCTCTCCTAATGTTGTCCTCCCTCACCTGTTGTCCACCCTCACTTGTTGTCCACCCTCACTTGTTGTCTTCCCTCACCTATTGTCCTCTCACCTGCTGTTGTGCTCCTTCACCCCTCGCTGCTACTTACCATTGGCCGTAAGCCTCCAGTCAGCAGGCATAACAACAGCCTGTATGGTGTATGTGTAGGCCCGTGGGGAGTCGATACGAAGGTCAACCAAAGAGAAACTTGACATTTCCCCTCCTTGTAGCTCGAAGCTGAGTGGCGGAGACAGGAGGGGGAAGAAGAGGGTGTGGAGGAGGAGGAGGAGGAGGAAGAGAAGAAGCAGGAGGAGCAAATTGAGCAGGGGGAGGAGGAGGAGGAGAAGCAGGGGGATGAATAGAAAGGGGAAGAAAAGAAAAGTTTAATAAATCAATTCTCTTTTCTTATCATAACGAACACAATAATAAATAATTATCACTCATGGACTCAAACGTTTATTTACCTCAGCTCAGGTAATGAGTACATACAGTATGTATTACCTACCTGTTGACTTAATATGCACAGGGATGCAACACAAACATACCCACAGACATGTATGTATAAGATGACAGCCACACACACACACACACACACACACACACACGTATATATTACTCTACACACACACACACACAGTAACATACAGACACACACACACACATACAGTATGGACACTCACCTCACGTTGCCCTGTATAACTCCCTCAGGCTCGATGGTGATACTTCCTGTCATGGTCTGGCCCTGTGGAGAGATAATTCTTGATTACTATTCCCCGAGAGAGAGAGAGAGAGAGAGAGAGAATTAACCTTACTTGGTCTACGTTGTGTTTTACATGACATTACATAACCTAGCATAATTTAATCGAACCTAACCCATTCAATCCTAATCTAACTATCCTAACTATTAGTGTGTACCCCTCAGACACCTCCTGTAGATACACTACTGAGGGAGAAGCATAGGTGGGTTGACAACTCACTCGGGCATCATCAAGGTCACCACACTCTCAGAACTGACCAGAATCCTTCACATATCCCATATACGCATCACATTAACCTTAGCCCCCCAGATTATTTCACCTTAAGTTTAACCACCCTATCCTTACCTACCTACCCACCAGGTGCCTCAGGTAATGTTAAGGTGTTTAATCAGTAGGTGAAATGAAAGGTGGGAAGGGGATTAGTCTTTATGTGTTACTTAGATTCCATTTTACTCTTCCTCTCCGTTCACTTTACCTTTCTGTTTTTATTCAGTTCTCCCGTATTTTCTCTTCTTAGGTTCTGATCTGTCAGTAGAGCTTTTAAATGGAACAGGTTATAAATGAGTTAATGTACCGTTCCTTCCTGATCATACAAGACCTGAACATTGCAACAGTGTCTAGTAAAACTGTGCTGTTTCATCAGTTAGACCCCGAGGTGTTATTGTAACATAAATAACTTCACTGTTGACAAAATTTATCCCCTGCCAACTATCTGAAGACCCCAACAACCTCCAAGTCTTTCATTAGTTGTGTATTATTCGGTTCATCATCCTATGCATTTTATCTTCAGTCATCCTAGTGACTTACTGGCGATAGAAACATTGGTTCACCCAGGCAATGATTCTTACCTCTACTTCCTAACTGTATATTCATCCCAACGTTCTTCCCCCAAGGAGGAACTACAGGTACTTGTGCCTTTATCTTATCTGGTCCTGTCAGTCCCACGATCACGATCTGTTTTGTCTGTAGTTTTGGCTTCCCTAAGAACCTACTAATACATTATCTCTCTATCACTTCCGACCATATTACTGTTGCACACCTCCGCCTCTTAATCTTTACCTGAAAGTATCGCTCCCAGTCACCACTCAACATTTGCGACCTTAACCAACACAGTAAACCTTGGCTCAGGCACGCCTCAGGCACTGATGTAGATGGATTTGAAGCAGAAATGTTTCCCATCATGACTGACCTCACACAGGGACTCGAACTGTATCCCTGACACACCTGTTTCTCAGTACACATCCACTTTATATTATTAATACATCCGTCTCATATTGGAGGAACTGAAGGAGATCTTCGTACCTGAAGGTGGGCGGGGTTCACAGGGGTGTTGTTCTGGGCGTCCTCGTACACCAGGGAGACATTCAAGCTGAACAACTGACTGGCTATAACTGACTCAGGCATCATTACGAGGAGTTTTGCTGGCTTCAGGTCGATACTGGAGGGAGGTAAAAATATCTTGTAAATAGATATCTACTGACTGTGTGACGCTAAATAGATAGAATCGCCGATTAAGTCTTAAAAATCAAATGGAGTTTTCTTGAAAAGGGATAACTTTTGGTTTTTATTTGTATAATTTGATGAAAATTAATTTACTCATCAAAATATAATGTTTAATTTAAGACGTCGTTTACATAAGATAGCCAAATTATACCTAAAGTAGATTACACACACAACTCCCTTTACTGATGACCAAAATACCTCAAGGACTCACTTGAAGGACGCTGACTGGACAGCTAACTGAGGCGCGCTCTGAGGATGAGAGATGCTGAAATTTAGACCATAGCCAACACCCGTTGTATTGACTGACAAATCTGTAAACGTAGCAGAGCCGTTCCTGTAGGCCACAGTGGTCGTACCCTGCAGAACGGCTTCCGGGGGTCCTCCAGTGAGCCTGACTGTTATCATCCAGGGGTCTGTACTGAGGCCCAGGGTGTTAACCACTGCACCCTGTAGAGGAACAAGGAGCATTAGTAACATAACACTATCCGGTATATGAACAAGATGATCATCACAACACCTAGATCTTTCTATTTATCAACAATATCCAGGAAAATGCTATTAACAGTATAGTTGTAATTAAGTATGTTGTATCCTGCTTGTAGTCTTACATTTCGTGATGTTGAGCATTTGCCAGTCTCAGGACAATTTGAACGGCTCCTAGTGATTTGTTGGGCATTGACGCGATATCGATTTCACTTGCAACCTTCCCAGATATCTTCGTGTTGTCCCCAAGCTTGACAATGTGGCCTAGTATATTGTCATCTATGTCGTTTATGTAGATCACAAACAGGTGGGGCCAAAGAGAGACCTTTTCCCAGTCAGAATGTATTCAGTTTATAGCAACTTTTTGGTTGTCTGTCTTCGAACCAATTGTTAATCCAAGTCAAAATCTTGCCCGTGATGCCGTGTGCCTGGATCTTAAGGTTCGTCGTACATGTGGGACTTTGTCAAATGCCTTAGGAAATTAATGTAGCTACAATATAACTACTGATTAACCTTGGTCCACGTAGCCTGTTGCCGTTTCAGAAGTTTGTCAAACAGGACCTTATTTTTTTACCATAAATCTGTGTTGCAATGCGTTGATAAGACTGTTCGGTCATGTGTTGAATAATAACATCTCTCAGAATTGTTTCCGAGTTTCCATATGTGAGATGTTTGGTTGAGCAACCTGTAGTTTTCTGCTGTACTTTTGCTGCTCTTCTTGTATACTGGGGTGACGTTGGCTGATATCCAGGCTGTCGGCTCTAGGCGCTTTACTTTGATCTAAGGATTTCCTGAATAAGAGTCTTAATGGAGAGCAAATCTCGTTTTCCATCTCCTTTATCACCTTGGTCTGTGCTACGTCCACTCCAGGTTTTTTTTCTTAATTCTTCCAGGCTGACTATTTTCTTTTTGATGATATCTTCTGCAGTTGCTATCTCTCTCGACTCACTTTCCGCCGCTGACGTATACATTCTCTTAGGTACTCACATACTACACATCGTCTCTCTTGTGAATACTGATGCAAAGTATTCAGTTAAGGTATTAGTTGTTTGTCAGTCATCCTCCAGGGGACCAACAGTAAGTACCCTTGGTTTCATCTTACTCTTGGCATCCCTATAAAAGGACTTGGGATCTTAATATTTTAGGCTAGTCTCATCTCGAGGTGCCGTTTCGTTGATCTAATTTCTTGACCGACCACATTTAAGGTTCTTTTGTAAACTATATAATCCACATGGTGTTCTGTCCTCCGGCATTTCTTCCACATCTGGTATTTTCTTCTGCAGACCTTCGTGGGGATTCATCCACTTGGTCATAATTCCCTCTCTTCCCCGGGTTATTTATTTTCTCTCTTATTATATCAAGAATTACCATGAAGTCATGTATCGTATCGTCTATGTGTGTGATTCCTCCCAGATAATTCTCCGTAGTTTATCCCTTATGAGCTGGTAATCTTCATCAGAGAGAGAGAGAGAGAGAGAGAGAGAGAGAGAAACACTAATAAACATACTCACTCCATCCGTCAGGGCAGAGACTGAGAGTTGGGTAGGGAACACGAAGAAAGCAGGCATCGATGGCGGCACTTCCTCCACCAAACGTAGAGATTTTGGTACCTCAAATATCTCTCCTGTCAAACTCTTCACCAAATTCTGCTGTTCCTCCTGCTGCTGAATATTGCTGAATATCTCGCCACCCGGGATGACCACAAACCCTTCTTCTTTGGTAGCTGGTGGTCCAGGGTCTTCGGGAGGAGGAACTGGCAGGGTTACCTATAGTGGTGTTGAACAGTGGGTTGGTTAGTTGGTTCTCTCACTCTAAACGAAAGATGTTTAATTCTATCTACTCAGTATGGAAATGAAATAGATAATACTTCAATTAGTGACCTTGACCTGACCTAATATTGAGCAAAGTCTTGACCTTGCTCAATATTTTAACCATAAATCTCTCTCTCAATCTCCTTATTTATCTCCCCTGTTGTCTGTCTAAACAAGGAATTATTTATTTGATTCACCAATTAAGACATTTTAAATAAATCAGTGATCATGATCAGACTCCAGCACCTCAACACATCAGTTGTAAGACAAGAGTAATACAATACAGTCGTGGAGAATTTATAACACAGACATTTGTTGTTAGTTAAGTTAAGGATGTGACATACTTAAATGTTACTCTAACAAGAGGTGCCTGTACAACAGGGACTTGGCGGTCATTATATCAGCAGTCACTAACAGTGTGGTCGGCGGGGAGGGGGGGGGGGGCATTACTTGGAACACAACTTGACATTACCATCATCGTGGTAATGCTGAGGTTACAGGTACTGCAAGAACTCTGAAATTCGAGGACTAAGTTCTTAGTTTTCTCCAGCAGCTGATCGTAGTCCAGGACGTCACCTGTGATGTTCGTTGTCTTGTTCTTCCCCGAGGGCGCTGGGGGACCTGCTACCTCAAACTGCACACGGGAAACACACGTATCATTCCTTCATCACCAATTTTTAGCGACTTTTTATTTGAGGTTATGTTCTCTCTACAAAAAATAAATAAATACATAGTTTTTCAATCAAATGTTCATTAGATGAAAATGTTGACTTTGTTGACAATAAGAACTTATAAAGTTACTTTTATTTCAGTGAATCTAGTTACAGCGTATTGTTTATTAATTATTATTACACTCCCACCAAATCCTCACTCACCATCACCTTACAGTAGTTCACTCACCCTAAACCCAACATTTTTTGAGGTACCTCTCTTCCTCCTCCCTCCGTCCTCCCGGATGATATCCGTAATCCTGATGTTCTCTACGGGCACGTCGAGTAGGAGGGCCATATTATTCACCACATCCTCCTCGAAGATACTGTCGATGTCAACCACAATGCCCAGCGTGAGGATGATGGCAGGAGTCATTATAATGTCCACGACTTGGCCCCCACCAACTACCACGTGTAGAAACTTGGCTCTTCTCTGTAGGTAGTTGGTCCCCACAGTCTGTAGGAGGAAGAAGAAGAGGTGAGGGGAGATGGAAGAATAAATGAGAAGGAGGAGTTATGGGGAAGAGGAGGCATGAAGAGGATAAGGCAAGGAAGAACGATGAAGAAGTGGAGGAGTCCTAAGGAAGAGGAAGTGGAGAAGGAGGAGGAATTATGAGGAAGAGGAAGAAACATGAAGAGTCAGTCTACTTCCTTTATTGATAATTCCACTCCAGAAGTTGCATGAGAAGGTGTTAGGAGGAGGAGGCGGAGGAGGAGGAGGAGGCGGAGGCGGGAGAAGAAAAAATGAGGTTTTAGGACGAAGAGATAAAAGAAGACTCATATATATCCCCAAGAGGAATATTAGGAAGACATAATGACACATCTCAGGAGTAGTTAAAAGGATAACAAATTTACGTTTGGAAGATACTAGGAGGATAATTCTACACCCGAGAATATACCAGACGAAATTATTTACACCTGCAACAATGTACCAACATAAAACACATACAACTCCTCAAACATTAATTAACACACAATAAAGGGATTACAATAACACCTACATCATTCAGGGTTGGGAAGAAGGCCTCTGGATCATCTAGGTAATCGGGAACGAGCTGGTAGGCGTCAGGAAACTCGTCGTTATCGATGTTCGTAGGAGGGATAAAGGTGTCGTCCACGTACACATCATAACGTTGAGATTTGGGGTAGAAGAGTCGTAATACCACCGACTCACCCGGAGCTGTGTGGAGTAGGTGGAGACGGAGTTTCTGTTGGTAGAGGGAAGGAGAGGAAAGGGGAGGTTAGAATGTGTATGTGTGGGGTTGGTTACTGAGAGAGAGAGAGAGAATGCGATGCCCCCCCCCCCCACACTAGGTCACACAGTTTACCACCTCCTACATAACACCTCCCGGAGATTAAGTCATAACTGTCCTTGTATTACAATGGCCACACCTTCCCGACTTATCTACACCTCACAAACACCTTTCCTCGTGACTCGCATAGATTCGTGAGTCATCCGGGTTCACGAGTCATCCGGGTTCATGAGTTACCTATCTCATTAACCACCTAACTCATTAGTCTCCTTGGCTCATGAGTAAGTTAGGATCAGAATTCACCTAAGATCAATTGGCACCTGCACCCATGACTCACCTAGGTTCATTAACCATAAAGACCCACTGAGTCACCTCGACTCATGGCTCGCCTAAAGACAAGACTCACTCTGGGTCAGAGGTCCCCTGAAATTGAGTCACCTAAATCAATGAGTCGCATAGAGTTATGAGCCACTTGGTCATAAATCACCAAATCACTTATAGTCACGAATCACCTCGAGTCATTTGTCACCTAGAGACAGGAGTTTTATAAAGTCACGAGTTACCTAGGATTTTGTTAGGATTCAGAGTCACTTAGAGTCAGGCACCACCTAGAGTCGTTCGTCATGCACCACCTAGGACCAGGAGTCACCTCACGCACCACCTACCTGAGGCGGGGTACCGGTCATGGCTACTTCGTACACATGGTTGGTGGCCACGATGGAGTAGAAGGTAGAGATGCGTTCTTGACAGCTGTAACCCAGACACCAGCCATGATCCTTGGGTCCGTTCACCAGGTCCACGTAGCCATCTATGCCTGGTGGGGGAATGTTATGTCTATGTAGCCATTTCTGCCTTAGGGAAATGTGTTTGTGTGATGAAGGGATGATTGCTTCTAAATGAACCAAACTGCAATTTAGGGGAAGGGGGTGTCAAAACCTTGCCATCACCGTCTGGAGGATGGCTGTGTATGTCTTACTCCAACCATCTTTGTTAAGAGGTGTGGAAGTGTATGTCTTAATATAGGCAATTATGTCTGGTGGGAAAAATACCTCCTTATATTTTTATCACTGCAGACAGACAGACACTAATGTTTTACCTTGATAAAAGCTTGATGAATTCCACCTGGATTACTACTTAAGGGATTATGGTTTAGTTCTAATGATCGCACTCGGGTCAAAAAGAGATTATTAAATAAAAATTACCTGTGATTATTAAGGATTACATTTAATTACCAGGACCCGTCTTACCTATATTGAAAATTAGTGGAGCTTTACTAATTAACATGAACAATCACACCTGGGTTGGCGATGAGAGCGATAGGTGAGAGTCGGCGGACCTCAGTGTCAACATCGAGGCTCTCTAGCACCAACATGCGGTGGGCGAGTGTGGTGCACCGCCAGGCCTGCCACGCCGCCTCCTCCACGCACGACCCGTCCCTCACGATGCCTGCCACCACCCAGGAAACAACACACCTCATTTAGCTCATCTGAATTCAATAACCTTAACAATAATTCAACCAAAATATAAGACACAGATAATGAAGGTACATAGTCAGGAATATTTTACTTAAATGTATATATGTGTTTCGTTATACTTGTATCTGTTATTCTTAGAAAGTGAAAAAAAGTACAAATATATATATATATATATATATATTTTTTTTTAATAACTAGAAAAAATTAGTCAGGATTTAATATAACTTTTTAAAATCGCAGTTAATGAAAATAATAAACCTGGTGCCTCACACTACACTCACCCTTGTTGGGGAACTTGTCATTAGCTTCAATCTGAGAGCCGTCTATGTTCTGTTGTAGACTGACAGGGATGCGGTAGTCTCCCACACCGTGAGCTGCAGCACCGTCCCACTCGTACTCCGCAACAGATGTGATCGTGGACGTGTCATTATTACCTGCACCGGTGGAAGATACTGAGGCTAGATAATAGATCATTGAGTTCTTCTACAGAGATTTATTACCTATTCTATACCGTTGTCTAGCCGTCCACTCCACTTTGTAAACATCTCTAGTAACAGATACAAAAAAATAAACATAAAAGTGTCAATAGATCTTCATTAATAAAATCATATGACTTTTCGAATGTTTACTTGCACCGTTACATCTAGAAAAATGTGCAGTTGAGTGCAATGAACAATCAAAATCCTATAAAAATGTAAGACTCGGGCTATCATGAACATTAAGACTAACAAACAAACTTTCTCCTGTATCTGTTAAAGCAATTATTTTTATTCACAAGTTATGATGTAATTTGGTTGGGCGTTATTTCGAAATATTTATCTTTTAACTAAAATACTATTATCATAGTTACAACAAAATCGACACGTCACGTCACCAACATTTACCAGTGAACGTGTTATTCGTCTCAGCCTTGACCTTAAGCCTTCATTATTAAAGCAGACAGACAGACAGACAGGTGAAGACGGAGTTTGTTATTGACATTCTAACAAGAGATCAATTTCTTCCTCATACTTACACGCTTGTCTCGTGGTAAAACCTTTGGTGTATGTAAGATAGAGAAATGAAAGACGTGTTACAGTTAAGTTGGGTTAGGTTAGGTTCACAGTCACAAACTAGGGTGCTTAATCTTCAGGTAATAAAAAACCATTTGACGTTGAAATTTTACAAATCAGTTTATAGTAATTTTATTTTTATTTTAATAAGTGAGGAGTTATATTACCCTGGCGTGTGTTCCATTGCCCATGATTAGTTGACCCTTAAAACCTGATGTACTGTACACCTGACGTCAGCAGGTGAATACAGGCCAGGTAACAGAAGCCTTCGTAAGGTTAGATATTTTGGGAAGAGTCTCAGGTATTATTAATTAGTCCAAATTCTAGACATTCTCTTGACCTGACCTGACCTTACCTGACCCGACCCGATCTGACTTGGTACTCCACACGACGTTCATTATAATACAGTAATTATATACATTAACACGCTTAGTATAACGATAGGATGTACTGATAAATGATCAGCTTTGATTATGTCACATGAAGTTAGACAAAGTTCAATCATCAGGATAACTATTGATGAACACCTAACTCTTAAAGCCTTACTGAAACATGCAGCATAATGACTAACATATAAATGATGAAACACACACACACACACACACACAGAACTTGTAGTCTTGAACTGAAGATCGACTATATGAGTTAAGTGTTGACAGAGTGTATGTAATGAGTTAAGTTTCTCGTAGGCCTAAGTAATTTCCCCAGTTATTTATGAGTAGGCCTATGTAGTTCTATTGCCATGCCAATTTTCTGTCAACTAAATTAAAGTTAAGGAGGATATTTTTAAAAACTATATTGCACCATTTTTTTTTAGTAGCGTTTTAACCCAACCCAACCAAACCCAATTTTGCCGTAGTCAATATTGAGGGGTCAGGAAGCAAGAAATCCACAAACAATGATGTCATGAATAACAAACTCCTCAACCAATAGCAGGCAGCCATCCAATCATGAGCTATGAATGGGACCCAATCAGGTGTCGGGATCTTATTTCTGTTCCCAAAAATTTACTAAAAAAAGCAATTTAAATTTTCTCATGCTTACCCGACTGAAAATGACCAAGCAAAATGAAAGACAGACAGACATAGAGAGAGAGAGAGACAGACAGAGACACACAGAGAAAGACAGACATAGAGAGAGACATAGAAAGACAGACAGAAAGACACAAAGAGAGTCATAGAAACAGACCTGAGAGTGATCCATCCACGTCCTGTATGAGAACTTTCTTGTGGCCGTCACAATCCATGTCAACACAATCTCCCGGGTTCACCAGATGCAGCTTGGGTCTGTTGACGTGAGGAACAACAAATAAATTATAAACATTGAGTGAAAATAGTAATGGATGATGATTCTTAAAACATTATAAAGAAAATAATCAGTAAATAAAAGACGATTAAAGAAAACCTGGACAAAACAAATATGGGAGAGAATATTAGATTTTTATTAAGGTTTCTAAGTTGAAGTTATTGCAACGGTGATTGTTCCAATAATAAACCACAATTCCAACTCTTGCGTGTAATTAGAGTGTTCTTATTAAAGCCATTTTGATTTTGCACTCAATTTTTTGGCTTCTTTATTACTAAAATCTGGTTATTTTCTTCCAGCAAAACTTCACAGAAATATGCTAATTCTTTCTTAATATAATAAAATTCATAAATACTTATACCCTGGTACATAGATTCACACACACACACACAGTGGCGTCCATATAAGAAGATCAACACACCGATCTAGCATACAGACAGATCCCATTTTCAGGGGGAAGGGGGGCAGAAATGAAGAGGGGAAGGAAGGGGGATGGGGAGGAAGAAGGGGAGTGGAGGGGAGAAGGTGTCACTGACTGTAAAACCACGCATCAGAAACCAATAGAGAAATTTACTACTATGAGGACAAAGTTGAGGCATCCATCATCTGTACGGGACCCGATTTGCCGATATTCAATAATGCTTTACCACAACAAGGTCGGTCGGTCGAGGGAGGGAAGGAGGGAGGGAGGGAGGGAGAGGATGGTCGGTCGAGGGAGGGAGGGAGGGAGGGAGGGGTTATTTGAGGTTAACTGGGCTAGCATGGATCCCTTATTATAAACAGATATGAGATAGGTTAGGTTAGGTTAGGTTTACCATACAACACGACTATTATTTTCTTCATGTTGTGACTCGTGAAGCAACATCTCAGAACTGGTCAAGGCTCTTACACTCACCGTCTACAGTTAATAGCATACAGTGTACTACATCATAGAGAATAATTCTTGCTATACACTAACTCACCTGTGGAAGAAGAGTAAGGAACACAGGCTTCTCTAACTCACCTGTGGAGGAAGAGGTAATTATCGTGAGGTGTGTCGAGGAAAGTAAGGCCTTGAACAAACACTGGATGGGTGGCGTCATCAGCGTTGTAGTTCGTCATGATAGCCACGTCTTTGCCACACTCCCGGGTCTCGTAATGAGCGAACCTGACCCTTGTGATGTAGGAGGCTCCGTGTAGGGCCGGGTAACTGTTTACTGTAATGATAAGTGATAGATGCTGTTGTTATTATTATTATATGCACACTTTCATACTACAGTAAATACACAATAGGGTTTTAGTTCAGAACACAATACAGATAACCTGACACAATGATTTATAAAAAAAGGCTTAGGAGTATGTTATGTCTTGTGCTGTACTGGAGATAAAACACCTGAAATTCATAACCATTTGATCAAACCTTCAGAAGATGATTACTTATGGTCTTATAGCACGCACGCACTCATACACGCACACACACGTACAAAAGGACCTACTGGAAGCTCTAGAGAGGAAGACTGACAGCAACACCCCAACATTGCCTTCTCCTTGATCTTGTGAACCCAACACCCCGCCGTAGAAGTCCTGGATGTCCGCCTTGGACCTGACGTAGTCGCAGGTGTGATCAGGGGAGGCCCCGACGAACACCGAGTCTTGAACAGTAGCGGTCTTGTCTTGGTAGGTGTGAGAGATGGCTGGAGGGCCGTACACCTGCTGGGTCACTCCTCTATAGCAGTCCACAGCCAGTACCTGCCAGTGTCCAACTCATTATAATAGGATGCACCTGTGTTACCTGGTCCTATGTCGATTAATGTGATGTTTAGTAATAGTTTTAATTTATATCATCATCACATTATTACTAGTTATGCTATTATTATGAGTTTTATTGGTATTGTTATTCCCCACCAAGGTTATTATTATCTCTCTCTCTCTCTCCCCCTCTCTCTCTCTGTCGTACATACATTACTGAGGAGGAGAGAAGCGTAGTGCTCCATATAGAAGGCGGTGAACCAAGCTCGCCAGACGTAGAAGTTCGCCAGGCGTTGACACTGCTCGCGAGAAGTCGTTCCCCCTGTTCTCTTCATCTGTCGGGACAAGATAACAGATTTAGGGATATTATGTCGGAGGGGGAGGCGGGGTTAGGTAGGGCCAGGGAGAGGGACGGGAAGAGTAGGGATGAGGCCAGGAAGGAAGGAAGGAAGGAAGAAGAGAGGGAGGGAGGGAGGGAGGGTGTAGCCGTGCCAGTGTGAAGCTAGATTGATAACGAACGATATAGCAGTTATGAATCAATCTTAGCAATTATAAAAGCTTACATGAATGTAAATAGTCAAGTGTGGAAGGTAAGAGTACTGAAGTTAGATAGCTTAATGTGGTAAGATAACACTAATAAAGATAACACAATATAGAAGATAACGCAACACTTATATAAACAGAAAGAGATAAAATAACAGAACGAGTAAAAAACAGTATATCAAAGAAGACGATAAACTAAGAATAAACAGTTAATACACGAAGAAAAACTAACACAGACATAAAACGAAAATAAACTTTATATCGAGATTAAATATGACTTGATATAAACCTACCTTAAGAATAAGTAGGAAAAAATCCACGAAACAATAAAATAAAATACCAACGTTAATTATGTTAATATTATTTAAAGATTATGAAATGTAATTAACAAGACAGAGTGTAGGGTTAGGTTAGGTTAGTATTTTAGTGTTACCTGGACACCGTAGATGGCGCTGTGAACTTCATTATTAGTCCACCTGCTCTCAACATCACATGATTCTCCATAGGTCTGGAAACCAACTTGTTCTGAACCTGGAATGTTGATGTGAAGGAATTATTAATCCAGAGTATCAGAGAAGATGGGTTAGGGTGATACACATTTGTTTAGCGTAAAGTGAAAGAGTTGATTAGTTTGATTAATAGTAGTAGATGGTTTATTAAGGTTAGTTGATGGGGGGGGGGTGGAGATATTTCTATTGATCAATTGTGTGAATGTGAGATGAGCTGATGGATCTTTACGTTGGTGTGAGAAGACTATTTTAGTTTCTTGTTGAGTGATTGTCTCTTCCATGTGAGTTTTAATCCCATTTTTCCATCTTACTTCACGTCTCCAGTATCTATAGTTAAAGAGTCACCACCTACCTGTACCTTGGGAAAAAAACAAAGGTGAAAATGCATAGACACATAGATAAAAGAAAGTAAGGTTGAATGTCCCTTAATTGGGGGAGTATATGGCAGAGAGGGGGTAAGACCTGGACCTCTACGACCCTTCTAAGTGCCTTTTATGACCTACAGGAGGACGTGTTACAGCCGCTGCCACACTGGGTAAACTCCTGCACAAACTACTGGCCAGGAATCTTCCCCAAGTGAAAACGTGAGAGTTAAATATAATGGATTTGTGTAAGGTACAAATCTAATGGAATATATAGCATCAATAGTTCAGGTGCTTAATAACGTAAGAATCATTGAGAATCACCATCACAAAGTTCTATCTATGTTGTTATCTAGGAGACTGAAAACACCTGTCCCGGCGTTTCCAGCTTCCACAGTGATGAGGTGAGAGGAAGACACCAGGCCACACAGGGACGCCAGGTATATAAATATAATAATGATCGCCTCTCGTGTTCCAGGTTGGGCTATTACTGAGGCCAGCTTAGTGTTGATTTATTTAAGGTGTAGAAGATGTCGTTAAGTCTCTCTCTCTCTCTCTCTCTCTCTCTCTCTCTCTCTGAGGTCATGTGTCAACTGTATATCTTTATATTCCTCGACTTTTTCTGTATTCCAATTCGTTATGATTTTCTCCCTTTGCTGTGACTCACTCCTTGACACCTGAAGCACCACCCTTACTTCCTTTCTGCATTCTATCATCTGTTCTGTTCCCTCTTTAACTCTTACCTTTAATCAATTTATATTATTTTTACATCCATTGCCACCTCTCTTGACAATGACTATTTATTTCCCTCTAATAAATATTAATTCAATAATATGCAACTATTTTAAAATCATCTACGAATAGCAGCAGATTTACCTCACATTAGTATCCAATGTCTCTCACTCACTCACTCACTCACTCCGTCCTTCACCTCCGTTACTGCCCCATCCACTAAACTATTCAACAACCATAAGAGCATTTGAAGGCCTTTAGCCATTCCTTCATTCACCAGTGAACAAGTCGTCTCTTAATCTCACACTTTAATACACACATTATTCTCTCTATTAAAAAATTACAGCATTTAACAAATATTTAACATCTGTCTAATTAATTTCCGATACTCTCAACAGGGCAATACGATTTTTCTGGATTAATAACTGATAAACAAATTCTCACATTTTCTGCAATTTTATCTTATTTATGTATTGTCTGGTCGAGGTGTTCGTAACAGATGAAGTATACCTGGAAATGTAACCTATTGTTGCCTGTGTCTGTTTCACTCATATTAACTTGGAGTCATTTTCTTTTAGTCATTTTCTTAATTTTTTCTGTCATATTAAGTTTCCTCAGATTACCAAGTTTACTGTTATGATTTTCTTCCATCCTGATAATATAGTCATGGGTGTTAAATCATGCTCACACAAGCCATATTCATCATCTTTCAACTCATTTACTTCATCCAGCTAATATTTCTTTCTTTTTTGTACTAGACATATCTCATAACAGACCTCTATATACACGCCATTGCCACATCTCCACGTAAAACTTATGAACTTCTGTTTTTAGCCAGATTTCCCGCAAACGATTAATCCTCTTTCAACACAGATTTCAGTCGACTCTCGCCATTTCCATTTTAATCTCATGACTAAATCCGCCTATCACTATCAATCAATATCTCCCACTGAACTGTTCAATGCATTTATTCATGAATTCACAAAAACCTGTCTCTTTCCTCCTCACTATTTTCACTCCGTGGTCTTTATAGGCGCTCACAATAACTCATCTATCATATGTAATATTCTGAGACCAAACCCCTATTACTATGGCATATATCTCCATATTTTAGTACCTAACAGTAGAGCCATTCCTGTCGTCTTAACCTCACTCCTACAGATAACCCTGACTATATGCCCTTCACTTGTCCCCAACATAACTCTCCCACACTCTGAAGCATTATTTCAATCCTAACCAAATCAGTTGGGTTCCTATAATTAATATATTAACGATTTCCTCAACATTCTTAAAACACTTATTTATCAATTACCTCAATATTTCTTTGCTCTTTCTTCCTGATTTATTTAATAAGACAGAAATTGTGCTTGTATTGTTAATCTCACCTGCTACAATGTTGTTTTCCAAGATGGTATTTGAAGCCTTGGTAAGGGAGAAGCCCGCGAACCAGAATGTGTTTTGGTTCTCACGCCTCCCTCTGTACGTCCCAGTGAACAGCATTACAGACACCAGGTTCCCTCTGAAGGTGTTGTTGTTCCCCTCGTCCCGGATACCTGCCACACGTAACTCATAAGTGGTTGATAGATATTGATACTTGCCACACGTAACTCATGAGTGGTTGATGGATACTTATGATTGAGTTACTAGCGTGACAATGAAATAAAATTGTGCTTTATCAGTGAATGAGTGACAGTGAGGGAGTAAGTGACAGTGAGCGTAAGTGAAAGTGAGAGAATGAGTGACAGTGAGTGAGTAACAATAAGGGAGTGGGTGACAGTAAGGAAGTGAGTGAACAATGACTGAAGGAGTGAGTGATTTACAGTAAGTTTTCCGTCACTGAAAAACATTAAGCATAGAGCTGATGAAACAACAGAAGATTATAACTAGTACATCGCTGTTGACTTTCTAACACCAAATAAAACTGTCCAAACTAACACAATAAAGTCTTAAAAGATTAACATAAATTTAACATTGACATTCTGGTATCTAATGATGATCAGTAAAGACATTAACCTTATTTATTCCTTATACACAAATAACAGGAATGATGAATGACAACAACAATAATGCCTTATGCAAAAAGGAATTTAATTAAGTTCTGGTAGATAAAGGTGAAGGATTAGACCAAATTATCTCGTTTCATAGTCAAAGGAAGGCGACAAGAGACCTGGGAGATATCTCTACTCCAACACCTGCTGCTTGTTGGGCCAGTGGGTCTGACACCTCCAAGCAGTAAGTTTTTACTGTTCTCAGGATTAGTGTTACATAACTCCTCGCTCAGTGAACCAGGATTGGAGTAACAGGTTGTTGCTTCATGAACCACCAACAAAGTCTGGAGTTTACTGGATCGAGACTCACAAGAAAGGTTCACTCCCTCACCCTGAAACGTGATGATGAGACACAAAAATGGTTCATCCTCTCACCATAAAATACATAATAATGACACACACTTTTTACCTTCATAGTTTCCAGCGACTGAGAACGTCACCAAGGGAGGCGGGAGAGGAAACGACGTCAATCTTCTCCTCTTGGTTATAAAATGGGTTCTCATTCATCTACTTACAACGTCCAGACCATTAACGAATAACCTTTGAGATTCTAAGCTAAAAGAAATAGGGACGACGATGGATAACTGCCACGTGAGTCGAGTATCATCGTTCCAATTAAGAGAAACACCCCGAGGAAGAAATTAAGATGACTAAACCTGAAGTGTTTACCAAGTAGTTGCTCTTGTTAGTATGGCTTGGATGGCCATTGATCTCACAAACACCGTAAAGAAAGCAAAGCCTCCAAGATCTTGTGCTAGAGTAGTGCAATCAACTGAAGTGGTTTTGATTAATCGTGTTATGAAGCGAGGAGAACACCTCTTGGACGGATAGACTTAGCAAAAACGATTCAATTTATAAAGTTTTCCTCTAAAGTTTTTGTAATCTGAGGATAAGATTTGATTGCCTATATTGAACACAGAATAATTCTTACTAGTTCTAGTTGTCAATACTGTTATCTGAATGCACTTGGGTCTGAAGTTATAGGTTTCACTTTTTGGATGCCAACTTACATCTATATCTTATTCTCACCCAAATTAGATATATTTTATAAGTAAAAAGGTAAGTTTCCTCTTGAGTGTTTGAAAAAAATACTGTTTACACTGTTTCACTGACGTCTCAACTCCCATAATCCTTTGCGCGGTCCACCATCTTGTAGGTATAGACGAGTTGCATTATGGGAAGGCGAAACGACACAACCGACAGATATTTCTTGGTGGACTTTTGAAACGGTAGAAAGAAATTTACCCGCTGTAAGTCTTAAATCACTCAACGACTGAAACAGACCTTTGTATTATAAAATGTTTTACGGGCGTGAATGCTTGAATGTGCATCATCTGTAATTCTCTTTTGTAACATCGATGTTTCAGTGTCTCAACTTAGGGAGTTATTTAAATTATTCTAATGTTATAGAAGGGAGATGGAACGTGCCTCGTAGCGTGATGAGGGCAGTACCTGAGACGGGATGATGCAGAGCAACCCAATGTAGGTAAAATTAGCGAGTGAGTTACATTTTTGGTGATTTTGGGCCAAAAATTAGATTTTGCTGAAAATCACAGTACGGGTACAACTGAGCTTGCTGATTATGACTATGTGGTCCACAATTCGATTGGAGAGTAATTAGTGGCCAAAATGATCCTTGAAAGATTTTACTGACATTTTTCAATGCTAATTACTCATCAACTATGGGTTTCCAGTGTGTGATTTATGGTTTGTGTGTTATTCTGAAAGTACTTAATTAGATAATCCCCTTAAATTTCGATTCGGAGAAAAAAGCATATTTTGGTCAAAAATTTTGTAAGGTGCAAGTCTACGGAGACGTAAGTAGTGAAGTTTGGAGAGGAGATATTTTTTTTCTCCTCTCGACTAAGACCTTCTGCTACGATATCCCTCTACGACAAACCCTGACGTGGAACCAGTATAGGCCATTGGTTCCTGTAGAGCAGATGAATATTCTTAGATTAAGGAGTCACCGCTCCTCTTAACAGGCAAACAACTATCACAGCAACAGTAAGAGACCGCCATTTAATCTGTTTATCTAAAAAGACTAAGATATAAATTTTCGAGACAAAGGGAAGTTAATGTGTTATCTGACTGATGATTAAAATAATCCATCGAAATCGAGACAGATTTAGCTTTCATCATCCTGTCACCTCGGAGGATTGATAGCTGCAGCTTCTAGGTTATGGGGAGGAATATAAGTGGAAAATAGAGCCAAAACAGACAGACGGACAAACATTTTTACTACCCATAACAGTTACTACCCACAAGATAGTTCATCTATTTAATATTTACCCCCCCCCCTCCAAGAAATCCAGCTTATATATTTGAAATTTACTCACAAACCAGTTTACTTAGTTTATACCCACAAAACAGTTTTATTTACTGAATATATTTCCCCCAAAAGCAGTGCATTTCATCTGTCACTTGACACAAGACCCGCAGCATCTAGACCAGTCTGCCTCGCATAAAGATTTCCCCTTCAGGAGTCCATTAGGGTTATATACAAATATTTTGCCAACCTTCGCTCAGACTACCACTTACCTCACCACTATACAGTATAGGTAAAGGACTGTGTGGTAGTAAACAGAATATCCCACAAACATATAAAAAAAATGTACACTACAACTTATCCCTACAGTCAAGATGTGTAGACGGTTCAAAACACGACGGGGAACTCTTACTCAAACTGTCTCATTTGTTTTTAATCAAGTGGTTCTGAAGCGTCACTGGGTCTCACCATCATCTGGTTAGGAGTTTCACTGTGCGAGGAGTTGTTTGGCTGCACTTAGGCTGATGTGCTAGACTAAACACTGTGTCCTGACCCCTAGACACCTCCAGCCATGGTAGGTTAGGTGAGGTCAGGTTACTGGTAAAGGAGCCGTATAATATAACAGACTATTCTGTTCATAAAGCATGGCGCCCTGGTCTTACTTTATCTTACTTAATGTGAGTTAAAGATGAAACAATTTAGTTTACTGTGAGGTTTAGTGCAAAAATTTTCACTCTGGTAAAACAGGGAAAAATGTGGACGATTGATAGACATAATAGGTGGATAAAAAGAAAGACAAATTAATAGTCACGTGAATATAAAGAAACAACAATAGCTATAGCATTAGATTAATAACTGGACGTCGTATTAATATCTTCTCTCGACATTAAGGAAACAAGTAAAGGCCAACACGTCATACAGACACTACTTCATGTGACCTTTTACTCTCAACTCACAGGAGCCGACGGTGTGGTAGACAACATTATCCTCCACCACCAGGTTGTTGGTGCCGAAGGTCCCGATGGCTGTGTTGTAGTTGAGGTTGAAGGAACATCTCTTGACCCAGCTGTCCGACCCGTCTTCACCCAGACCATGGAAGGCCAGAGAGTAGCGAGGATCGTCCGTGTTCGTGAAACCTTCCTGGCCCGCTCGCCTCAGCTCCACGTTATAGAGCTGAGCTTTTCCTGACAGGGAGAGCAAATTTATGTTATCTGATATTGTGAAAATTCTCTCTATTTCTCTATATCTTTTTCTCTCTCTCTCGCTCTATATTTCTCTCTCGTCTCGTTCTTCTATGTCTGTCTGTATACATACCTATGTAAGTGATCCCCTCTGAGGTGAGTTTAGAGACCAGAATCCTGGCGCCGAAGCTCTCCTCCTCGTGGCCCGGGTAGGTGTTGCCCTGCACAACGATGTTCCGCGTCAGCAGACCCACCTCACTCGCTAACAGGTACTCTGTGCTACCGTCAGGCAGGGTGTGCTTGGAACCTTGAAGAAGATGGGAGATAAACTTTAGAATAGGGATTAAGAAGAGAGTGATAAAGATGGGGATAAACACTGCATGATAAAGACAAAGATAATAAGATAATCAGAAGACATTGACAAAGGCAAGAGATACGCTTTTGGAATTATTGCATCAGGTGCAGGGAACTGATTGGTTATTACAGGAACCTATTCATGTTCTTCCAGTGAGATGATGAGAGTCAAGGGCTGAGTACCTTGTCGTTGTCCCATACCATCACTTAATAATGTGTACGTAGTATGTCTTCGTGCAGTGGCATGTATAGTGTAGGTAAGTGTTTTATTTTTTCTGAATGAGCTTGTTGCTCCTTAAACTGCGACCACCCTAAGTCATTCATTTATATAATCTGTGTTAAGATAAAACTGTCACACAAATTGCTCCATCCCAACAAGTGTTTCAACTGCAGGTTTTGTGTTTGTAACTAAATTTACCATTGCACTGAGAATTTCGTTACTTGCCGTCTGAAAGGCCTTGGAACAGGTAAGCTTCCCTTCACCTGCAAAGCTACCTGTGTTATCCGCCACATTAAATGCGTGTAGTGCAGGGAGAACGGCTAGTTTGTTTAGTGTAAACACTTGCTCTATGAGGTTCAGGGGGAACAATTACCGATGTTGTCCAGTTCCTTTAACAAATTAAGTGTCCTCATTCACACCAGTCAGGATACTGCCTCAACAGCTTACTGATCACTGTTTGGGTAGCTCATATCCTCGTGTGTACTGTACCTATGCATTAGTGCCACAATCAGACAGTTACTTTGATGAACAGGTCGCATTAACTTCATTTCCTCACGTTTTCTTGTCAATACAGAAACACATTTTGGGAGGGAGAGATTCCTGGTCACTTGTCTCGAGATGATTTAGTTAGTGACGCGCAAGACCCCAGCAGGAGGGGTCAGGTGTGAGGAGAATCAGCTAAATTACTCAACTAGGAATAACCTGACACTGAAGGAGGACTGATCACAGGTACTTCGCAGCTCTGAACAGGAAGGACTAACACTCACAAGGTTTAGCCTTTCATTCTGATAAACAAACAACCAAATATGCTCAGACAGGTATGAGGTCAAGTTGGTCACGTACAGTACACCTGAGTAACTCTGGTCATACACGGAGATGCAAAAATCTACAAGAGCTCTTCTTTAATGCAGTGAGACGAGTACGAAAGGCTAAGATGAAAATCTATACAGGTGGTGAGAAAATATCTAAAGGCACCGAAACCATAAGTGCAAAAATGATATCCATTATGACGAACCTGAAGGTCAAAGAATTACGAGAAAACCCATTCCTCTCCTGCCGACCGCGAAATGAGCTCCGGGTCACTCTCATGAGGCGAGAGCTTTATCGCCAAGCCACAGAACCTCACACTGCCAGAGAGGAGAACTGGGGCAGAATGTTACTGTCGTGTCCTCACTTAAAGCAGGAAGAATGCAACTTAAGTCGGATATAATTTCCTCATTAAGATGTACAAAATTCATAAGAAATCAGACTAACTCCTGGCACATCTCACCTGCCTCAGCCGATATAAAAACACAACCAACTCGGGTAAATGCACTTGTAAAATCACCTGTTGGAGGCATAAAGAACCTGTTATTTACCTCCTCGACAACTACACAACAGACCCCAACTTAACTGATGAAGGACATCACCTGGAGGCGATAACTGGCACCATAAATTATCGTCTTCTTAAAAGTTTGCTCAAAGTGAACATTCGTCAGAAATAAAATAGGTAGGAAATATTATAGATCAATCTTTTTTAAAAAGTTATCACTTGAGGTTTAGTAGCATGAAAACTGCAACAGCTTATGAATGCTCCATTTGAAACACAAGGGTAAAATTAAAACGACTAACCACGGAAAGATTTCAATATCCAGATCAGGGCAGATCCTTAAGACGGTGGAACAGCGACTGGAAACACAACGGAACTCGAATACTTTCCAGAAGAAATTATTAAACCTTGAACGTGAAGCAACACACTGACGCAGGTTATCATGGATGAACCGATCTCGTGCCAGTCATAAGACAACTCACATAACAGTAAGTGTTTACAGGGACCTGCTACCAGTTGACTCTACAAACATCATATTTATAACTTTGGTTCGAACATACACAATGTTGTCGTCAACAAGAAGAATAAACCTGAACGTGTAATCATATAATTAAACAGTAAATAGTTCATTATTCTCAACCTCAACCGAGAACAAACGACAACACCATTCAGTTAAAGCCGTAATAACTTCAATACTTAAACAAAACACTACATCCCTGGCTCGTAAGTCTTATATAACCAGCAATATATATTCATAACCAACCTCGGTGTTCACGACTGGTGGATCACACATAAGGACTATTTCTCTATATACAGTAAATATATACAAACTCGCAGACTCTCTTAACCAAGTGAGGAAAGTGACGGATCAATGACTCGGAAACTTGAAACATATAAAAAAAATAAGTTAGCTGATATTTATCCCCTTACTAAAATAACTTAAACCCTTACTAAGATAACTTAACCCCTTACTACCTAGATAAGTTAAGCTCTACTGTATGTTCTAAGATGTTTTACCATACTAGTCTCCTCATCATTCTTTACATTTCTTCTTTACTGTCAGAATTAACACCAAGTATATTAAAGTAATTCTTCTTATATGACAATTGACTAATATTTTTATTAAAGTTCATTATTATATTTTTCATTGTTATAATTACTTTCACTGTCACATTGTTTTCAGGGCCGTGTGATTATTATTATCTGATGGGTTTACCCTCGATCACTAAACCAGTCATGACAGGAACAGTATAGCAAAGCGAACATTTTCCTACGATAAAACTAATATATTGTTTTTCTATTACCTCACCAAGTCCCAGGAAAGAGAAATATAACTTAATATTTCCTGTCTGTCCATCCGAAATTTTATAAACACGAAAAACCAACATAAAGAACAATTGGTATGAGTTAAATTCAGTAAATAGCAGAGAACTCAACAATGTGTGTATAGAGAGTTATGGTGTCTTGTTGTGACGCAGTGGGCCATTGGAGTGTCCACGTGTTCAATATAATGTAAGACGCCATTAATAACTTTAAAAAATAACTTATACATTGTTTTGGTCTTCCTGAACTCCGTCTGCCTATAACTGGTCATGGGAGAAGACAGTCTACCGTTAACTGGTTATCAATACTTTATAACGGGGAAGAACTACACAGTGGTTAAATGGTTATGTAGTGCACAGTTCTAACAACACGTGTATTTGTTACTTAGTTATAGTTTAAGCAATGAGAGAGAGAGAGAGAGAGGAGGAAGGAGAGAAAGTGCCATCCATCTTATTTGCATACATCCATCCATAATATAATAAAATACAAGGAAATGTAAAATAAAAGACTAATAATGTAACAATATCAACGAGTCTTTCCTTAATTTGTTTTAGTGTGTACAAGAATATTTGTATCAACTTATGACATTGTATACTACGTTACACCTTATTATTAGATAAAGGAGTTATGTTATTTTACAAGTGCCGATCTCAACACACACACACACACTAAAAAAAACCCACCAAATTACGTGTAAATAAAAAATCAACGCTTTTACAGTGAATACGTGAAAAGAAAAAAAAGGTTAACGCTCTGACAGTGAACCAGCATCTCACATCACCCAATAACCCAACTTCCCACCTCATAAATAACATATGTATGTGAATAAGAACGCCTTTGCATCAACACCACGAAAATGAACACCCAGAAAAATCACTTTATCCTTAGAAAATATGTAAATAGGGTAGTGGAGTGTAGGCCAGAGAGGAACGAACCCCCGTAACTCAGGTTCATAACCGAGGATTCGAATCAGTGAAGCAGATATCGAGTACATTGTGTTGTATATGTTGGTTGACTCATTTTCGCAGCAGCTAATGGATAGAATTTACAATTTGTTTCGTGAACATTAAGAAATTTTGGTTGAGTAGGGATTTTTGGTTGAATCAGTAGTGGGTTTATATAGTTATTTACAGTAATTTAAGAGGACAATTTTTTTGTATCACCTGAAGATAATCACTCCAGCTTACTTCACCTGGTGATTAGATACCCTACTATTATCTAGGGGGTTAGGCTAGGTTAGATTAGAGTAAGTTAAGATAGGTTAGGTTAGGTACTATATTGTAGTTTATAGACCCTGTAACCTCTATATATGGACAGCAACATATGGAAGGTACAATAAAGTGTTGATATATGTAAATAAGTGATAAACATACCCAGGTGTTGGTGAGTGAGAGGGACGTCCAGGGTCAGTGTTGTACCAGACACCTCGACCACTGTCCTTATCTCCGTCTCTGTTGCTTCCTTCCCTGATGTTGTAATCATAACCTGTAGCAACATGATGGGATGTTATGATATACCCGAGTTATGTTACACGCCTGTCATGATAAACCTGGGTTATGTTACACACCTGTCTTGATATATCTTAGAGGTCATGGATTCTCTCTCGTAAACTTCTACTGAAACAACACCTGTCTGACACCCAGTATGCTTGGCTTCAACCTTCACACCTGCTCGCTCTCCTACACTCATTATCGAGGCTGTGTTCTTCATGTCTGGTGGGTCGTGATCCATAGTGTGGTCTGGTCCCAACTCTCTTTTTCATTTTATGTTAATTTACCACCTGTCCATTCCCCCTAAACAGCACACATTCCTATGTTGGTAATACTAACCCACACGAAATGTTTTTATCACATACAGACAGACACAGACAGACAGACATACCGTTTTATTCAACCAGGAGGGGGCGTCGACAGGTTCAGTAAGAGTGATTTGTGATTGACCAGCAGCAGCCGTCGACCCCAGCTTCACCCAGCATCTGCCCTCCGATTGGCCATAAAGACTCAGCTGACCAAACACACCTGGAAGATGGAGATGGGAGAGTAAGGAGGTTATATAAAAAGATGAATAAAACCTCGAGCTTGTGACCTCATTTCACTGTTAATTCGTCATCTCTGGCGTCATTCTCCGGAGAAACATGTCGTCAGAGAGGAAAGTTTTAAATGAACCTTTAGCTGAGAAATCTGATAGAACAACTTTCATCGTTATTTGAGTCTTCCCTCTAGAGTTAGTGTGAAAATGTTATAGATGAACTTTCCATGATCTTGACCTTCAATACTTACTATTTATCCAGCATAGTCTATAAGATAACGTTTAGTCATACATAATGCTGAGAATTTTGTCATTAAATCATTGGTGGAAGAAGCAGAGAGACAGACAGATATCCAAGCAGTCATTCCACCACCTCACAAATCCTTTCAGGGACAATAATAGAGACGCAACTTCTACATACCCCAACTACACCAAATCCACACTCGCTGCTTAACTTGTGACATACATCCAATATACCCAAAGACCTCTTACCCACCTACCCACAGCTATCTTGCCCACCTACCTATAGCCTTCCATCCCACACTGGGGACACCATTAGGCATGGGCATATCCTTGTTGTTCGGGTCGTCGGGGTCGTGGGAGCCTTTCAGGGTGATGGTCAGCTTGTGGGTGAAGGGGTCAGTCTCGTTATCACCTGCCTTCACTTCTCCACCCTGCCAAAGGAGACACGTGCTCAGGTTAATTAAACAGTTATTTGCCACTCTGCCAAGGTAAACACGTGCACAGGAATAATATCACACATGTTCAAGGTGGATATGTTTCGACAGTGTATAGCGATGCCCAAGTGAGTTACCATCATGCTAATGGATACAGGTTAATTAATACCCCTTGTTTTACTTTACTCCCACAGAAATTCATAATAGATAGACAATATTTTGCATCATACCACTGCGTCATAACCGTTGTCACCATCTCATTAGAAGTCGAAATTCCATCAGGTCACTTCGACAGACTTGCAGGTATTACACCGACAGATCACTGAAATACACAGTCAACCGTAGGTATCACTATGGGTGTCTTACGGTACTCGAACCCATAAAGCTCTCGAGCAGTCTTCTAGCAATACGACATTCCGTTTTCAATAATGTTACCGTGTATATGTTGTAATATTATCAGTTATTAATATATGTCTTATTGACTAACAGATAGAATTTGTCAAACTGTTATGAAGTCTGTCTCAAGTATTGTTTCACTGATATTCCTTTTTATGAAACTGATTCGAATGATACTTAATTGTTTCGAGTTTTGAACTGGAAAGTAGTGGGAGTAAAGTGCAAAAAGGGGCATTCTCTTAGTGTATAATTCATTCAGGTAAACTCATCCTCATGAAAAAGATTCAGTGTCCAGTATAATGACCTTCCCTGGAGTGTTTTGTTGACCCCTGTTACTACTATACACAGTTAGTGCCGGGAGGAAGAAGAGTACTTTTGTGTGGCTCTGTTATATTGTCTTTTGTTTTATTTTGCCTTTGGTTGGATTCATGACCAATCTACTGGAGTTATATAATTGGTTGGTTTCTTGAGGTTCTAGACTACTCAAGGCACCATCTTGTTTCTTCCACAGTACTCGTCTTGATGTCAGATTTCCTGGGGATGATTTTACTTTTATTTACTGAAAATCTTTCTTTCTGACCTTCACCAAATCGTTGACCTTGAGACAACTGGACGAATAGAGAAATTTGTTTGACGCTCTGGTGTGTGTGTGTGTGTGTGTGTGTGTGTGTGTGCGTGTGTGTGCGTGTGCGTGTGCGTGTGTGTGATTCCTGCTAGATATAAGCAACATTCTGCCAATGTATAAATAACCACAAGGAAGTTAACATCCCTCCAACATACAGAGGAAGACAGGTTAATTAACATCCTGCAAAAACACAACGTGGGAGGTAGTAAAGAAGTGACGGGATTTGAGGTTTAAATGATATACAGCGTTTGTATAGGGAGAGTATAGAGGCAAGCGTTAAAGAGTGTGTTGGGGAAAAAAGAAACAGACTCCCAGAGAAAATAAAACTACAACAAGAATATATAAAAGTTTGTCCTGTTCAAGTTATTCATCAGGTGGTTAACAATGTCTGGTAAACAGTGATACCATATGGGAGTTGAAGCAGCTACTGTAGTGAACAAGTTACATATGATAGTATAGAGAAGCGTGTAGCAAGAGAAAGTTACTGGTGAATCAAAGGTAAAATGAAACTGAGGTGTGAGTTGTTCGAAGGTTCGGAAATGTCTGTGTCAGCGTACGTCGAATAATAAAGTGACACACAGAGAACTAAAAGGAAAGACATTAACTTATGCATCGTGGAAATTGTTGCAACAGTGAACAGTGTCCTGGGAAGTGAAGATAGATGTGTGTAGCAGAATAGTTGAGCAGACACTAACAGGCTAGAAGTTAATAAATGACGAACTTGGTTGTAATATTTAAGATGAATATAATATGTAAAGCAAGAAATATGGAGTAAAATAAAAGATAAAGAAAGAAGAGATAGAGAGCAAATAAATCGGGTAATAATGAAGTGAAAGATTGATAAAATGTTGCATAAATCAGAGGTGCATAATAGGAAAGAGAAGATAGAACTAAGAAATAGATAGAAAGGCGTGGTGAATGAGGTACTAGTAGGAGTGAGGAGGAGTGACACCCAAGAAGAGGCACTGTGTATAAACGAGTTGAGAACATGGCGTGGAGTAGCTTATGGAGTTGGATGTATAGGTGATGGATAATGTTCTTCCGGGTGATGGATAATGTTCTTCCGGGTGATGGATAATGTTCTTCCGGGTGACGTAACAGAGTCGACAAGTTAAGGTCTAGTTGTGGGAGGAGTGCATCACGGTCAACGCACATGTTAGAACAAAAATAGTGAAATAATGAAAACAAATTAAATAAGAATAAGTTACGGTATTCTGTCTGTTCGTCTATGTAGTGAGTTATTTATTCTTCTTATCATTTGTCTATTCTCTTCGTAGTGTTGCTTCACCTTCTTCACCTAACACATCTCTCGCATTACTCTATATACATCCTCTTCGTCATCCTATTTCGAAGAATCTTTCTTACATGTCAGTAAGAATCTCAAAGGACCTCTCCTCGTACACCCACACCCCCCACTCCCCCCATACACTCCACACCCCCACACCCCCCATACACTCCACTATTTCTTGACAGTTCCAATCTCCTTACCCCGCAGGCAGCTCTCAAGTAACTCCTATCTGTAGCCTAAATTTTATATCCCTCAACTTCATTCAAAAGCCAAGTTTCACTGCCATAAGTTAAGGCATACAATATTTTTACTATTATTCAATTCCACCTTCACCTCCAAGCCAACGTTCCTCCCCTTGCTGATACGCCCCTGCTCTTCATTCCATCTTTCCCCTTAAATTTTCTCCACTGCTTCATTTCACTCACTCTCTGTCGTACCATTCTTACACAACACCGCTCTCAAATATTTGAAAACCTAAACCACTTCCTGTACTTTATTTTTCCTCATATTTTTTGTTCATGTCAATTTGTTCCATTTTTATATTTTACATAATTTACAAAGTCTTCCTCGCTTTTATATACATTTACGTGACTCTCTTATATTTTATCGTTATATATTTTAGCCCCACACGCCTTGTCAAAGTCATTCACCCCCTTTCCAATTCCTGTGAGCTCTGAGTTAAAATAAACTGACGACTGTATATATACACACACACACACACACACACACTTGCTACTACTGGCTATATACTGCTACTGTACCTGGTCCCAACTACGACTCTGCCTTAGCTACCCTACCTTCATCACCCTCACCACCCCTGTCCATACACGTTTAACAAGTACTGGAACATCACATAACCATTCTCACCCTTCCTCTCACTATCTTCTTCATTTAGCATCACATATGACTTGCTCTTTTTATGCCTTCATTACACAACATCAAATTCCTTTCCTATCACTCTAACTTTCATCATCTCTCACAATATTCCTTCTTAATCCTCTCCTGTACCTTCTGCAGACCACTAAATGCTATAAAGAGACCAGTTTGTCACTAGTTTGTGAAGCTCCTCGCATACCAAAGAATCTCTTATTTCGTTAATATTATCAGTTATCTCCCTGTTGTTACCGCCACCGGTATGTTCAGCTGACTGCGGAAGGTATCACCTTTGGTCCGAGACTGAGGGTTGTTCAGCCTGTCAGTTAAAGGAGCACGTTTATCATCGACGAGTACATTGATTTCCAGGTCATTTTCATCAAACCAGTCCTGGTGTATTCTTTCGGTCTGGCCGAGGGTCTCTGTAAGTTTTTGTCATTACAGTGTTGAGAATATCCCATTCGGCACTGGGAATTGGGTTGTTTGTTGTCGGCTTGTTTATCAGCCCATGTTCGAGCTGCTCTCTGAAAGCATGTGATACCGCTGGATCCTCCAGACGCTTAGTGTTAAAACCTCTTCTGGAGGCTTGTTGCCTTCGCCGTTTTGGGGCTACGTGAGTAGCTTGACTCTGACGAGACAATGATCAGTGTCGCAGTGGTCTAAGCCACACATGACTAAGGGTGATAAGGACATCTCAACACACACACATGCACACACAAGCACACACTGTACCTGGATGAAGATGATGTTGGCTACAAACTCATGGTCCATGGTGTCAGAAAACACGAGGGTGCCATACACAGTCACAGTGCTGAGGGAGGGCGTCTCGGTGTCCACCACCAACCGCATACCTGAAGGACGAGGCACCAATTTAACAAACATATGTAAAAAAAATTGGACAAGCTGGCGGTTGGTCCCCAACTTATTACACCTTAAGATTAACCTAACTAACCTAACCTAACCTAACCATTACCTCGGAACACGATCAGCAAAAAACATTAACAGCCTGGTTCCCATTTATTGCTAGACAGTCATCATCACGTGCTTCGTGGTGACAGAGTGAACCTTTCTTGTGAGTCTCGATCCAGTAAACACGAGGCTTTGTTGGTGGTTCATGAAGCAACCACCATGTTAGAGGTCCCAACCTGTTACTCCAATACTGGTTCACTGAGCGAGGAGTTATGTAACACTAATCCTGTGAATAGTAAAAACTTGCTGCTTGGAGGTATCAGACCCACTGGCCCAACAAGCAGCAGGTGTTGGAGTAGAGATATCTCCCAGGTCTCTCGTCGCTTCTCCCTTGACCATGATACTCTCCGCCAGCTGCCTCTTCAACCCATCAATGTTTGCTATACGAATGTCTGTATTTGTCTATATCTCATTATCTTGGCTTTAGGTGTATGTTGATTGAGGAAACCGTCCTGAACTCTTTAAATAAAATCTAATTGACTAAAGTTAAACTCGCCATATATACACCCCCTTACTTTGTCTGGATAAGTTACCCATCAACCTTTTCAAGAATAGGAGGGTTTATATATTACTCTTATGATTATTTTTCCTCACCATCAGTTAATTCTATTAACACTGTTTATGTATTCAGTTTGGTTTTAATTTAATTTTTAATACCACACATCAAAGACTCACTGACAACGCAGCCTCTTTTTCTGATCTTCCTGTCAGTATGAAATTATTTGTATCCTTTAATTTGACATTCAACAATTAACTGATGCGTTTCTGAATCTATGAATGTTATTGCATAGATTTTTTTCAGTACATAACAAGAGCTTTGATTTCCTCTATATTTGTGTAACACTTCTACTGTTCGTGTAGTAGACATTTATGGTAGTTTTGATCCGAGTCTTCCCTCTGTCGAGTTGAGGCAAATAGTATAAAGAAGCTTGCCCGTAGTCTTACCTTGCCCGGGAATCGAACCCTTTACCAATCACTTGCGAGGCGAACATTTTTAACCATTACAGGCTAATACTATCCTATCCTAACCTAACATAACCCCGAGGTAGTATTAGGGTGTTTAAGGTTAAGTTAGGTCAATGTTATGATGGTTAATCTTAAGCTCTTATATAGTAAAAATACTAATAATAATATCTGGTCTTTTGTTTCTCGAAATACTAAAAAGTCATAGACCTGAGAATTAAAAAAAGAAATACGTCGTACAAAAAAGATCACAAAAATCGACACAGTTCGACTTGAATCATTCGTACATCCTTAAGTTATAATACTTTCTAAACCATGTAATTCTCCCTCACTGTTCCCTCTTCAGGATCATAAGCTTTCAAAAAATAGAACGTTCGAATACTTTTTGTGACCAGTGAACTTCCCCAAAGTTTAAAAAGAGCCAAAATCCTCTGTGGTCATCATCCCTCCTATTAGATGACGATAATCTCGGATTTTACCAACGTTCAGTTTAAGTTTTCTCCTGGTCATCCAAATTTTAATATCAGATTATCAAGGATTTCATTATCTCCTCAATATCCTCAACATTTGTAATTTGCTCTCATGTCTACACTACCTTGAGGGACGGTGAGGTTATCTCCATCAACTGGGATGTGGTAGGTTCCATCACTCTCGTTCTTCCAGGTTTCATTGTGAGACCAGAGGGCGGAGACTTCTTGTTCCGTAATAGGGGCGGGCAGTGTCGGGGTGATACAACCCTCATACATACACCTGTGAGAGTAACAACAGGTATGTCATTAAATCACAGAGGGGGGTGGGGTGAAAGTAACAGGCGAGCCATATCATTAAATTTAGTCAGTTTGGGACAAGAGTTGAATACGTTATTGACCAAGTCAATTTAGTTGCTCCAGGAAAATTATTTCATCAGGTCATTAGATTTGTCGTTTACATTCACCAGGTATATATTTGATGACCTAACTACAATACAATTAACTCATCAGATGACCTAACCAGAACCCAGTCACCAAAGCTACGGAATCACAAGGTGACCTTTGACCTAATGACCTGGAAAGTTACCAAACTAAGGAAAAGGGTAAACTGAACTATCCCTGGCAGAATTAGGTATTTATATACTGTGTTTTCGATGGCTGCTGCACTCACAAGCACAATACACTCATCTTATATGACGAAACTAAACCTCCATGGGTGACAAACGCAACATAACCAAACAAAATAATGTACAAGTAAAGATAAACTATATCTATTAACATACTGTATATATTATGCTATCCATTCAAACATCTCTCTAATATTATAATCCCGGGACAATAAGAGACATGATATCCACAAACAGGCGCTTACCTGTAGACTTGAAAATAAATGTTTCTATCAGATCCCTTCTCTCGGTCATCAAACACTTCTCGCTTCTTCCTCGACAGTTTGCCATGTACTGTAGATAGTAACAGAGAAATGTTATATAGTAGACAAGAAAGCAAAATTATGTTACAGCTATATGAGTTTGATGTTACATACGTTCACATCTACTGTTACAAATGTTCACACCTGTTGTTACACATATTCAGACCTGATATTCCATCTGTTTATATCTGTCCCTCCACGTTTCTACACACCTGATCCACAAGGTATTATTAAATATACTACATATCTTTTATAGGAGAATAAAATAAACAGATGCTCAAAATAATAAAATAAACATAGCGATATTTGGATAGATATTTATGTAGTTGATTACATTTACTGTTTAATATAGGATTATTTAAATATATATATACGATATAGGTAAATAGAGAAATACATTGAGAGTTTATGTATATATGTTCCGTTATGACTCGATATGTTGCATTTATAACTCCATGATTTTTTTAGTTTTTTTCATTAGGTCACTTTTATTGACAATTTCGTATTACATCGGAGTGAATTTATGACGATAATTCTGTCAATTTACATGAGGTTGTTATCAATGAAACCAAGAATTTTGTAATTTTACCTTTGGTGGTAATAATAATAATAACAGTACTAGTGCGTTAATAATCGTGTATTCATTTAATTTTTACTAAGTCTGGTGATGTAATATTCCCAGATAAGTGACTGATGGGTTCGCTCTCTCTCTCTCTCTCTCTCTCTCTCTCTCTCTCTCTCTCTCTCTCGCTCTCTCACCTATGTAAGTCATCGTGCGAGTCTCCTCATCCCAGTAGTAGTCACCGTGGATGGCAGTGGCTGGGTCAGGTATAGCGACAGAGCTCTCCTTCTCCACATTGGTCGTCCTGAGAAGGTGACCAACGAGTGTTAATTATTGTTGTATGCGTCATCATCTTGTTTCTTATGTATACGTGAATATATATCAATGATCTTGGTAATGAATAATATATGAGGTATAGACAATGTAGGTGTATGGAAGCTGTCAGCAGTGTGGGTGTATGGAAGATGTCAGCAGTGTGGGTGTATGGAAGATGTCAGCAGTGTGGGTGTATGGAAGCTGTCAGCAGTGTGGGTGTATGGAAGCTGTCAGCAGTGTGGGTGTATGGAAGCTGTCAGCAGTGTGGGTATATGTTACTTGAAGCTGTCAGCAGTGTGGGTGTATGTTACTTGAAGCTGTCAGCAGTGTGGGTGTATGTTACTTGAAGCTGTCAGGAGTCGAGTGTATATAACTTACTTGAACTTGTCAGGAGTCTGGATAAACTGATGCTCAACGTAGTAATAATCGCCAGGTGTAACGTATTTAGTGTCGGCTCTGTAGGTGATGTTTGTGATCTGTTGAGAGGAAGACAAAATATATAAGAAATGGCTCGTCTGTATAATTCTTCTTTTTTGTGTGTTGAGTGAGGCAGACTTTCTTCACAACCAAAAAAGTCAGACAAAATGTCTTTTTTTTCTTCACAACAACAACCGCGGTCTTCAATAATAATCATGACAGATACAGATAAATAACTTTCTTCACTAATAAAACTGACTGACATAAAAAACTTTCTTCACAATTACAGCTGTCTTCACTAACTTATTCTAACTTAACCTAACCTAGCTTAACTTAATGTATCCTAAAGCATAACCGAACTTAAACTACTATAAACTATTCTAACTTAACCTTACCTGTTTTAACATAAGCATACCTACCTCTCTCTCTCTCTCTCTCTCTCTCTCTCTCACCTGCTCAGAATAATCGAAGGCCAAATTGTACGTCTCAAGTGTAGAGATGACAGCCATCCAGCCAAGGGAGGTGACAGGGACGGTGATGTTGCCGTGAGAATTGGACACTAACAGGTTACGGCTCGACAGGGAGGAAGGCTTGACGGTATTCCTCCTCATAAAGAACCGTAAGAACTTGATGGGCGGAGAACACACAGCTCCACTAACCTGCCGGGGAGTGTGTAGGTATAAGGCGCCCCCAAGAAACATGGACACTCAGAACAGGACAGGCACTGACACTAAATTTGGAGAAGACTTTGGTAACAGACAGACAGACAGACAAAAAGACATAAGAGAAAGACAGAAAATACAGACAAACAGACAACAGAAAGACAGACAGCTAACAGATACAGACAGAACAGAACAGACGGGGACTGGGGAAACATAAGAGTAAAGAGAAATTAAAAATAGATGAGACAAATATTATATTAATCTACACCAGGAAGATGCCGGAAAACCAGATTATTTAAGTGAGACATTGTACGAGTATGGAAACACAGAGGAAGGGAGAGCATTCCACAGTTTGACTGTGTGAGGATAGAAGGATGTACTTTAACGGGTTATTCTCGTGTGACTGACATCCACAGAGAAACGGTGGGCACCGCGGGCAAGACGAGTGTTACGAGCCCACGGTCTTGCCGGCGGTACACAGGATGCCAAATCCACCGATCATTGTCCGTTAAAGTACCTGTAAAAGAGAGAGAGTGAAGCAACATTGTGGCAAAAGAAAGGGAAGAGATTATCAACTAAAGGAGAGTTAATAAGGGAAGTTTAGAAAGCAAAGACTTGTGCCATACCCTGTCAAATGCTTTGGAGACGTCGAGGGCCACGACGAAAGTTTACCCGTAACCCCTAAGAGATGATTACCAAAGATGGGTGCAGTAGGAGAGCAGATCACCAGTAGATCTCGCCTGGTGAAAGCCATACTGATGATCCGACAAAAGAAAAAGGCGTTCAAGGTGACGGAGAAAGTGGGAGTTTAAATACATCCATAGAAAAAAAGACCGGCACATACACAAAAAAAGAGACTCACTTTAGGGTTAGAGAAGGCAGGTACAGCCAGGTCACAGGTAGTGGGGTGGAGGAGGTCCGTAGCTGGTAAGACTCGAGCCTCGGGTATCCCAGTAAGTGAGCCATCTGTGTCTATCCACACACTCTCATGCTGCCACTTGAAGGTCAGCTGCCAGATGAGGTAGTGTGCAATGTAGAGGACATAATAATAATAATAATAATAATAATCATAATCATAATAATAATAATAATAATAATAATAATAATAGTTAAGTTATAATTATCGAGTAATACCTAGCCACCAACCACGCCGAGTGTGCAAAACTCTACGGTGGCGCGCTGCCACGTTTCACTATCTATATCCCTTGTGTTGAGGAGACCTGCCCATCATAACAATAACAGCTAGCCAAATAATCATCTTCGTTATTATCCAATGTTAAAAGTGTCTTGTGGGTGACTGCAGCACTGTGTCCCTCCCTCACCTCCATCCTCCAATAGAGTACTCTCCATGATGATATGAACTCATGAGTTAATTGGAGTTGTATGAATTTTTCTTTACTTTAGTGTAATAGGTAAATCATGCTAAGAAGACAGTTTTAAATACACGAAATAGGGAGGCCAGTTGGTGATAAGGTTGACGAATATTATATGTAAAGAAAGTGTAAGGGAAAGAAGATATTCAAGCTACATAATTTTACTTGTCATGTTTGTATAACTTGCTATTTGCTTGTCTTGTTCATTTGTCATGTTCGCATAACGTCACTTATTTGTCAAAATCGCTTTTCATGATCCTTATCATTACCTCACTGGTCAAGCTCTCAAACAATACCTCACTGGTCAATCTCTCAAACATTACCTTATTTGGAGAGTTGTGGAAAGTAAGATTTTTCACTTGGGTCTTGTACCCTCCCTGATGGTACCCACACTTGGAGCAGCCGGCCAGGGCGGTGCAGCTGGCCGTATCATAGTTGACGAAGTCGGTGTCGGCGATATTGAACACATCAGACCCGGGAGCTGTGATGCCGCTCACCCTCGACCCACAGCCCTCAGGAGTGAGCAGGGAGGAATACCCGACCACCAGGGAGTTGAAGATGCCTGCGGTGTTGTAAATCTGTACTTCTGTGCCTCAACAACTGAGCTCCTTAACTACGCCGACTAAATTAGTTTATGCACTATAAAACAACATTTAGAATTAAGGAAGGTATACGAGTCTGTCCTCTGCTTGTGGTGAGGTTCAGGTGCTCTCTAAATCATTGTTGCCAATATTACGTTTCTATGATGACTGAACAAAAAAGTAATTCCCATTGGCACACACTAAGTCTTCGATATATATATATATATATATATATATATATATATATATATATATATATATATATATATATATATATATATATATATATATATATATATATATATATATATATATATGTGTGTATGCATGTATGTGGAATCAGAGAGATGGAACCAGCGACCCCCAGGACAGTTGGTGAACGCTGTTGTATCTACTCGTATGCCTCATCTCTTCTACAATGACTGACTCTTATTCTCTAATTACTAACGGCATCTTACACATTAGTTTATATCAATAAGTTATCTATTTAGGTCATCGTACAATTAGTTGTTAGTGAAGAGAATACGTTACCTGGGCCATCATCTTGGCCGAAGTTTCCTTTCACGTTGACCATCTCCAGCCCGTTCAAGTCATTATCCAGCGCCACGAAGTTGTGGAACTGCAATGCTCCCCCCAGCACCGCTTCTGCCCCTCGCTCACACCTCCACGCCGTGAAGTGCTCCCAAGTGGCCACCTGATCAGAATGACTGGTGAATCTCACATCCCTTTGCAAAACTGAAAAGTGAATTTTTACATATCATGGGCAAGACTAACTCTTAAATCCCTACCAAAGAACAACACGTGTGTCAACCAAGTTAAAGTCACACAATAAAGAGAACGTTGCTTTAAAAAACAACTGACGTTTTTGCTACAAAGGGACAATTTTTTGAGTTTATCGGTACAACGTAAAGGCAACTAATCTTCGTGTATAGTCGGATTTGCTGTTTCTTTTAAGACGCCGTTTACCATCTTAAAAGATCAATGTAATACCTGAAATAGGTTAGGTAAGATAGAGTCAGATCAGGTAGGTTTATATTATGAACAGTAGGGACTCACCTGGCTTATTCCCGTAGGGTAATAACCAGCTCTTGAGAACACCCAGAGCCCGTACCTGAACAACACAAAGAAGACCATGTTAGTAATGACCATACAGGTGACAACAACAGTAACCCTCCACCCTGACACTACACCCTTACTAATGACCATACAGTTTGTAGGAAGTATGGTGCACTTGCTCGAATATACCACCACCACACAACTCTATCATCACCACCACCACACAACTCTATCATCACCACCACCACACAACTCTATCATCACTACCACCACCACACAACTCTATCACCACTACCACCACACATCTCACCACTACCACACAACTCATCACTACCACACAACTCATCACCACTACCACATAACACCACCGTACACCGCAGAACACTACCACACTACACAACTACACAGCTCACCTGCCCAAGGAGTGAGCGGTGTTGTTAGCGAACTGGCCCATCCGTTGTCTGTTGGGAAAGGTGTTGTAGGCTCGGGAGGAGTAACCTGTCGGGCGATAGTCAAGGTGATACCAGAAGCCAAAGTGTGTTCCTCCAGCCACGGCGTTGCTTTGTATTATGTTGTCGGGGTTGGTCACCTGTTGGGGCATGACGAAGGTGTTGAATCAGGTCCTTATGTTATTATCTTTTTAATTAACATATATTAAGCTTATACGATACTAATAGGATGAATGAACACACACATGGCGTCTCTCTCTCTCTCTCTCTCTCTCTCTCTCTCTCTCTTACCACTTGCCAGCTCTATATTCAACACTCTCTTCACCTTCACAAAACCACAAGTACAAATTCGTCTATGTGTGAACACCTACCATTGGTAAGTGTGGGTATACTCGTACATCCCACAGCCTTTAAAACCCAGTCTTTCTTCAGTCATATAATCACAACCATAAGTCATCTCCCTCTCCAGTATACTGACCCAGAAAGCAGCAGGTGTGAAGTCTGTGTTGAGCATGGAGGATGAAGGCCTTGTAAACACGACCAGGTTATATTCCATGACATTCCCAACCTCAACGCCGTCTTCTGTAAATACCGCGTGGCCCTTCGTGTTGTATATGACGTTGTGGCGGACGGTGAGGTGTTGAGTGGCGTGGATGGTGATGGCACGGTTATAGTTGTGATGGAGAGAGCACCCACGCACGTACGAACCCTCCACGCTGCCCGCCAAGTGGAAGTTGATGGGGTGGCGACCCAACTGGTACGCCTAGTACAGGTGAGGTAACGGTAGTGAAGGTGGTGGTGGTGGTAGTGGTGATATTGGATATAGTGGTGATGGTGTTTTCGATGTAGTAGTGATAATGGAGTGCTGGAATATTGGAGGTAGTGGTGGTGGAGGTAGTGGTGGTGGTGTTGGAGGTAATAGTGAGGGCATTCGGATGTTGGGGCAGATGGAGGAGATGGTGGGGCAAGTTTAGATGATGGAGGGGCAGGTGGTGGGGCAGGTGGTGGGGCAGGTGATGGGACAGGTGATGGGACAGGTGATGGGACAGGTGGTGGGGCAGATTGGATATATTAAGAAAATATTTTATGATATAAACAGTAAAGTGATTAAAGGTTAATTAAATAAGTACCGAAATAACTCTGTACAGGCTCAAGTACTATCTATCCCTGGTAAATACTGTAATGCTGATAATAGGAGTTACTACACCAAGTGTCTTGTTTTGGGCAGACCAAGAAAACCTGATTTCCGAATTATTACATGGTTGAGAAAGTGTGTCCCTGAGACCTGACTGTTAATACAGGCCCCTGGTGTGGGTGTAACACAAGGAGGCAACGTGGCGGGGCCTTCAACTGAGTTCACCTTAACCTGTGACGTGACCCTCCCACGACCTTACTGCTCCCTGGTGTGGGTGAATACAGTACCAGCATCAAGCGCCACCTTACCTGGCCACCCTCGGTGATCTCCACATTCTCAAGGCGACCCCAGACAAGATCCTCGCTGGGCCTCTTCCCGGAGAACATGATCGTCGCCCCAAACTCATCACCGCCCAACTCGTCCCCAAACTTGCCATTGAAGCAAGGCGGAGTATTAAACTGACCTGTGGGGAGGAAACAATAAGACAGATCTGTGGGGAGGAAACATTAAGTCTGACCTGTGGGGAGGAAACAATAACTCTGACCTGTGGGGAGGAAACATTAAGTCTGACCTGTGGGGAGGAAAAAATAACTCTGACCTGTGGGGAGGAAACAATAACTCTGACCTGTGGGGAGGAAACATTAAGTCTGACCTGTGGGGAGGAAACAATAAGAATGGCTTGTGGGAAGGAAATAATCGAATGGTTGTTTTTATCAGGTAACACGACTAACACGACCTATCAGACCTCGCCGAGCTTCACAACCAACACTTACTCGGTGTACAAGTGTCATCAGATGGGGGAATTTGTTTATTAAAGTTTGTGTTGACAGCTCCTCGAACTTTGACATTTCGGGTTAAAAGTCCGACCTCGGCCTGTGTGTAAACAGTTCGACCCCCGAGAGTCTGCTGGAGGGAGAGGTGTTGGTACTGAAGAGGCTTAGTGAGAGTCACCAGTAGACCGTCTTCTGACACCGATTGGATTTCTCCCACTTCATTTTCGTTGTTGATAAACCTGAAAGAAAGGGAAAGTGTACAGTGGCAGCAGGTGGATGTGTGACCACGTTGTTTGTGTGAGTGGTGAGTCATTTCATTACATCTGTTCATTGAGTGTTTCCTTGCCAAAGAGTGAAGAAATCTAACACTCACATTCTCTCAGTGCTGGCGATGACAATATGGTCTTTAGGTTTCCAGGTAACACTCTGGGTGAGGGTGATGGTGGTGGCTCCGGCAGGTGCGGTGGAGGCTAGGTGAGTCCAGGTGACAGGTACATGTAAACCGTGAAGATCAAGGTTCCCATGACGCACCGCTATCACCTGTCAAGTCACGTGATTTTAATGGCGACAAAATGACAACAAGTACCTTAATGTGTCTCAAATATGTCAACAATTATCTCAAATTTACTCACTGTCTATCTCCCACATATAGCAATAATTATCTCAAACTTTCTCTCGAACTGCCTCTCAATTATGGCAACAAATATATCAAAATTAATCTCTATATTCAACAACATAAACCATTGATAATCCTCACAAAGTACAGGACAATATATTAATTAGAGGAATCAACTAATGCTTGTGGATAACTGAACTGATCAATTGCGCCTAAACAGAGACCAATATTATGATTTTCTTTTTAGTGAATCTCGGAATATTAAGCGTCTCTTGCTCTCTCTTCCCCCTTACTAGTCTCTCTCTCTCTCTCTCTCTCCCCTCCTCTTTCCCTCCCTCCCTCTATCTCTCTCAAAAACCATTTCACATTACCTTAGCGCCGTAGATAGGAAGTTCAATGGAGCGGGTGTTTCCATGTAGTTCGATGACCGCTTCGCCCGGGTAAGGCTCCGTCTCCGTGCCCACCACCAGTGACCCGCCCTCCACTATTAGGATGTACTCCGCCCGCAGGATGATCTCCGTGGCCTCCTGGTCGAAGGTCACCTGGCCTCCTGAGAGACACACACAGGTGAGATATAGTGGATTAACACACAGGTGAGGTTCTCTTAGTGATACATACAGAGTGAATGAGAGAGAGAGAGAGAGAGAGAGAGAGAGAGAGAGGCGAGGCAGATGAGACAGAGATAGAGAGAGATAAGGCGAAGGGAGAGAGACAGAGATGAGAGACAGACGATATAAAAAGAAAGAGAGAAACGAGACAATAAGAGAGAGAGAGAAGCATAAGAGAGAAGGGACATGAAAAAGAGAAGTAATTGCCTAGGATACAACTGAACTGATAAGATAAAGAACGAGTAAGCCAGATATAGTCTCCACAGCACTGATTAGCATTTGGTTTGAACACATAACCTGTGTATCTGGGGACGGATTTAAGAGACATCGATCTTGGGCTGTGTTGCTGGGTCCACTCATATAAACATCTGTCATTTGTCTGTTGTGGTTGAATTCCTTCCCGCTAGTGACAGTGTGGATACAGAACACTGTATACTAAGCCTTCGGTACACAAAGAAACGGCGTTCACTTCCAGAAGTTTTAAACTAAGATACCCAATTACATCTGGGTGAACCGAGAGCGCCCGGGAATCGAACCCCTGAACCCAAGAACAAGAGGCGAGTGTTGTATCCACTCGACCGCCGCACTTCTTCACTTCCTTGCTAAAGACTAAGATTTACCCAATAAATTAGTTTTTTAGGAAACATTCTCGTCAACATTGTGTGGTCGTCATCTTTCCTGATCAGAGTGCAACAAACCTGCATGTAATTTTTGTCAGTGTTATTTACCGGTGGAATTTAGGGGTTAATTAACTCCCGAAAAATTGACTGATAATTACGTCAACAGGGATAAGCTATGTTGGTTTATACAAAGTTTGTATTAAATAATCTAACCGTGAATACAAACTCCAGCCGTTCTTGGGTGTATATTTTGTTTACCTATGACTCGGTTGTCGTATACCAACTTCAGTTCGGATTAAACTTTGTAACAATTATTCACTTTTGTGCCTCAGTCTTGTTCACTTGTTCCACTTTAACAGTCAGTCTTGTTCACTTGTTCCACTTTAACAGTCAGTCTTGTTCACTTGTTCCAGGTTAACAATAAAGAGACTAAACAAAGGTGTGTGGAACCATAACATCGCGGTCCAGTGTGCACAACATCGCGGTCCAGTGTGCACAACATCGCGGTCCAGTGTGCACAACATCGCGGTCCAGTGTGTTGAGGTTTGTTTTGTTTGTGGAATCTGAGTTTTTCACAGCTTTCCGAATTTGTTCACTAACTCTACCAGGCACCCGAGAGAACCCTTTTAGCCCGAGTGATATACAGTACCAGGTGTTCGTTGACGTATGTTTTGAGAGGTTACAGGCGAGTGCTGGTGGATATACTGACTCAGGAAGGACACTCCATAACGTTAAGTCTTCTCCTTTATATAAATACATTACAATGAAACGTCCATATAACAGACTTCTCTCTACATGTAATCCGTTCGATGAGAGGGGTTTCACAATTAACGGATCTTCGATATAACGGACTTTTATATCTATGTAGTTCATTATATGGACGTTTCACATCTAACTGACCCTCGACTTTGATCTCCATACAGTCCATTAAATAGAGGTTTCGCTATATGCAGGTGCAACGAAAGAGAACCACTCACTCGAGGTTAATAACAATAATAATAATAATAATAATAATGATAATAATGAAAATAATGATGATAATAATAATAATAATAATAATAATAATAATAATAATAATAATAATAATATAGTTAAGTTATAATTATCAAGTAATACCTAGCCACCAACCACGCCGTGTGTAAAACTCTACGGTGGCGCGCTGCCACGTTTCACTGTCTCTGTCCCTTGTGTTGAGGAGACCTGCCCATCATAATAATAACAATAACAGCTAGTCAAATATTCATCTTCGTTATTATCCAGTGTTAAAAGTGTCTTGTGGGTGACTGCAGCACTGTTAGGTTAGGTATTGTTAGGTTAGGTTAGTCGAAAGTGATGAAGAAACTAGATATTAGTTAAAAAAATATTCTCGAATATTGTCAATTATTAAAGGTCGATATATCAACATGAAAGTCATACCTGGATGGGAATAAGATCTTAAACTATGACTACATATGTCAGGTGTTATTACATATTTGTGATTTTATCTAAGAAACTGATCAGCAACAGTTAAACTATACAAAGTGACAAAGTGAGCATGACTAAACACACAGTGGATGATTTAGACAGTAGTAAAGACCTTCCCAAAGAAGTACAGACCCTTGATGAGGAGCATCTTGAGCACAGGTGTAGACTGATCAAGCAGAATGGTCTGGTTCTCGTTGACCACCACCAAGTGACCCTCAGAAGGAACGGTGTCACCTCCCCACGTGAACTCTGAACTCCAGAGGTCAATGTAGAAAAATTTAATGTCATCGTTCTGAAATGGTAAATAAAACCTAAGACGAAAAAATACTGATAATGCAAATAAAACAAAGAAAATAGAATTCAAATGAATTAGTGAGTTAATATGAAACCAATAATCAAACAGTAATTAAATATTAGAAAGATGGTTGTATGTATAGAAAGTTAAACAAGAATTAAGTTGTCTGAAAAAAAGGTAAAATATTGAAAATGTAGATAATAAAATAACCAATAAAAATACGTAATAAAATATTATGAAATTCCCTCAAATAAGTAATTAATATTCCAGTGATAAGTAATTATTATTTTATCAATATAGAACTAATATTTAATCAACGGGTAAGTAAATAATTAATCAACAATGTTAAATATCTAAACGTCAGGTAATTCCAATTTAATCATCAGGTAAATAATATATAGACAACGGGTAATTATCTCCACATCAACAGGTAACCAACAGAACATCAACAGGTAACCAACAGATCCATTAACAGGTAGTTACATTGAGGGCGTAGCCAGCTTGGGGAACTGTGACGGTGACGGGGAAGCTGCCAGGGCCCGCATGAGCCTCCGTAACACATGTAATGGTCGTAACACTCTCAGTCATCACCAGGCAAGGTGATCCATCGATGGTCACCTCGTTATCTGAAGGGCTGAGAAGGGCGTTACTGTGGGCGTTATTACTGTTATTGTTGGTGTTATTTATGTTATGAGTGCTGCTTTCGTTATTAATGGTTATTGTTATTCCTGGTGTTATTATATCTCAAGGTAGTTATTGACATTTTGGGGAGAACTGGAAACTAAAGATAAAGACTCGTTCAAAAAAATTAAGTTAAATTCAGAAACAGAAGTGAATGTGAGAGGAAGAGGAAGACGGAGACGAAGATGGAGTGAAGGTGTGGAAGGCAGAAGAGGTTTGAGGAAGAGGAGGGTGGTGTAGGGAAGTTTTGGCAGGGGTTTATAAGAAATAATTACCTGACACGCCTCTCATAACTGTTGATGGAGTTTAGTGGAGTTACTTATTCACAACAAGACTTTAGTTGATGAAACATAGTATACAGTAACAACACTTTAACGCCATTGTCACATTTAATTTTCTACGTTTTAACTTTTTTTCTTGTCTGTAGTTTAAGTTATAAAAGAAGAAAAGTAAGATTTAATACAGGACAGGTCACGACAGGTCACGGATTGTTAATTTCTAATATTTTGTCTAGTATCATATACAGTATCAGTAAATCATATTATAGTTTGGAATAAAGTTAGATGGTGAGCCTAATGTACCTTGAGAAATGTATGTTTTAGAGTGCCTAGAAGTGTGGACACGATACACCCTCAGCCACACAGGTCGCTATTTATGCAACAGACAACGCGGAAAATCGGTTCTTCATATTACTTCATAAATTTGTACATGGCAAACAATACGAATATCTTCACTGTACACAATGATGTATGAAATAAATATTACATCCATAGGGAATCATCTATGTATCTGGTTAAAAACAAAACTGCATAATAGTGGTTACAATGTGGCCAAATATTCCTCACAGTCTATAATATGTTTACTTGAGTTCTAATACCAAAAGGTGTAAGAGAACAAGGAAACAATGCTTGATACTAATTCATATAACATCTATGTAAACCTATCCTTAACCTGTAACTCATTTTCAAAGTGTTTACAGGAATCTATTTCACATTGCTCAACAGTAACTCATCCCTCATTGGACAAGAGAGTGATTGACGAACACCCGTGGTGGTGGTTGGTGGTGGGTGATGGTTGGGTGATGGTGAGGAGTGATGGTGGTGGGTGATGGTGGTGGGTGATGGTGATGGTAGGTGGGTGATGGTTGGGTGATGGTGAGGAGTGATGGTGGTGGGTGATGGTGGTGGGTGATGGTGATGGTAGGTGGGTGATGGTTGGTTGATGGTGAGGAGTGATGGTGGTGGGTGATGGTGATGGTGGTGGGTTATATTAAACAACAGAGATGAATCAGGAAGATAACTATAGTGGTTTTGTTGGACGGTAGAAGAGTGACCACAGGAGAACATGCTTGGTACAGCAAGTGCTCCGAAGATACTGACTGACCACCAAAAAAGGAAGTTTAGAAAGTAGAGTGCCACGACGAAAGTTTCCCCATAATACCTAAGAGAGGATGAATAAAGACCCTTCAAGACCTACCGTTAAATAGCTACTGTGAAAGATGCCCGAAACCCTTAATAATATCTACCATCCACAATAAACAGATAAGGCCACCAAACCTACGCAAAGTTATCCCCTGTGATGGTAAGTTGTGTGCCGCCCGCCGTGCCTCCCCTGGCAGGTGAGGCGCCCGTGATGGTTGGGGTGAAGTTGCCGTCGTAAGTAAATCCGTTAGATGCTGTCTGCTGTGAACCATCAGGATTAGACACCACCACGTCACACGCCACCACAGTCACCCCATCTGTAGAACACAACTAAGGTCTTTAACCATCTATTCTGCATTAGTAAATACTCACATCAACAGCTAAATATTAAAGGCTCCTGTGTGGGAAGGTTTAACTGAACGACTACAGGTCTGGGTGTTACAGGTTAGCTCATGAATAGATCCATCACACTGTCGAATGGTTCTCAAGTAAGTGAGTTAAAAAGAACACATTTTAGAAGCAGAGGGTAGAATCGGACAACTTTTATTTGTATAGTTTAGATACCAGATGAATGATCGACATGGGGAAAGTTGAATGTAAACAGCTTTTGTTATATCACCAGCTGAGACGGTCTTATATCACCAGCTGAGACGGTCTTATATCACCAGCTGAGACGGTCTTATATCACCAGCTGAGAAGGTCTTAAATCACCAGCTGAGACGGTCTTATATCACCAGCTGAGAAGGTCTTATATCACCAGCTGAGACGGTCTTATATCACCAGCTGAGACGGTCTTATATCACCAGCTGAGACGGTCTTATATCACCAGCTGAGACGGTCTTATATCACCAGCTGAGACGGTCTTATATCACCAGCTGAGACAACAACTTACCTCACGAGACAAACACTCACACCACCATTTTATGACTTAAATAACTCGCATATTGGAGTTACCACAACCATTCACAATCTAACTTATGACAACAACTATAATAACCTCGTGAGACTATAGAGATCTGACCTGGAATCTTAGGAGGTACGGTGCAGGTGATGGAGGTAGATGTAGAGGTCGGATTGGAGGTACAGGTACTGCCACACACACCGACTGTGGTCCCTCCCTCGGGGTCGAATCCGTGTCCACTTATAACTATATCTATGCCGCCGAACCCTCCTGTAAAAAAAATATATATACGGATTTATTTATTTTATTTATATTTTAATAATCTAAGAAAGTCATCACCTTAAAGTTCGTCTTCCACCAACCTAATACTACCTGAGTGGGGGGGTTAGGTTAGGGTTAGGTTAGGTTATTGATCAGGATAGATAGAACCAAACAGTTAATTTGTGGAAGTAAAGAAAGGATATGATGTATTGGAGAGAAGTAGGAGGAAGGAAGAGAAAGATTGAGGGAGGAAGAGGGAGACAGAGGGAGGGAGGTAGACAGAGGGAGGAGGAGGGAGGGAAGAAAAGGGGTGAGGGTAAAGAAGGACAGATAAACGGAGGGACGAGGTAAGGAAAATGTGGGGAAAAGGAGGAGAGAAAGATGGAGAAGGAATAAAACGATGGAACGAAGAAAAAAATTATAAGGAGACAGAGGGAGAAAGTGAGGGAGAGATAAATAAGGATGGAGGGAAGGAAGAGAAGTGTATCAAATATATCGAGGGATGGAGGAGAGATAAGGAGGAGGGAAGGAGGAAGATGAAAGGGGAGGAAGAGGAAATAAAAGGATAGGAGGGAAGGGGTGTGGTAGAGAGAGAGAGAGAGAGGGGGGGGGGGATTACTCCTCCCTGTGCCATAGAAGACAATACAGTAATTTCCAACATCAACACATAACTTCACCAGACTATATAACCCAACATCAAGTTTATCAGACTAGGTTAACTCCTCCCACGGTTACATACTTCCTGTTAACTCACAAGGTTAATGTTAACATGATATCCGGAGAAACTATCTTCACAAAGTTAACTGACCTGTGGTTGGTGATACAGAGGTGATGGAGAAGCTGTAGGTCACACTGCGGTCACCATTTGAGTCACCATATTGGGAGTCACGGACCACGACGGCGTGTGACCCTCCTGCTAGGTCAGGTGCCTGTGGGGGAACAGTAGTGATCTTAGTTTAATACCCAACAGCAATACCTGAATAAATTTTCTATCCAGTAACTTATTCAACCTGTGTGTGTGATCATTGTTAACTAGGCTGACCTCCTCCTGAAGGTCAGAAACGTTTTGCTGTATATCAGTGTTGAAGTCTGAGCAATTGTAGCGTTATCAAGATCAGATAGATCCGACACACCCAAAAAAAAAAAAAAAATGGATCCACGCGGACACCTTGAGGTACTCCACAGGTAAACGGCGACCCGAGAGGAAATTTTTAATGAAAATTCAAATTGTGAGCGACACCCCAGCAACTACAAGTTCTGGAGGGAATCAACAAGGTCCTCACGAGAATAATCACAAACATAATGACAACTTGGTCACGTACTCGTATGTTAAGTGTCTCTATAGATTTGGTCTTGAGATGTAGGTGTATGGGAAATTACCAGGGTGTACGGCAGCTTATTCTTCCAGAACTATTTATTTGTCTTGTCAAATATCTGAGAAAATACGTAAACCCAATAAAATATTTTCATGGGAGGAACAACTCACACATATACGAGGAAAATGTGTGAGTCTTGTGTTAATATATGTAGAGCTGAAGTAAAAATGGCTGAAGTACAGGAACAATAATAACCTACATAATATCTGAACTTAACATTGATTAGGGTAGAAGAAAAATTTGTGCTGAACACTTACAGAACACGTGACGGTTGTATCAGTAGCAGCGGTGACAGTACAAGTGGTTCCACCGATCAGGACCTCGGGGTCACTGCCAGACAGCCTCAGCCCAGTGCCACTCACAGTCAATACAGTCCCAACCTCCACGTCCATGCTCGGCCTAAGAAAGGAGACAAAATATATGTGTAGAGTTAAAGGAAAGTTTAGTTTGTTCCACAGAATATAATACACGTGACCAGACCTTAACACTTGGTTTGATCATATAGATTTTTTTAATAAATTAATTATTTAATCTGTTAACATATTGTGTATACTATTATATATATTTTCAGACGTAAGGATTTTATTTTTAGTGTCGAAATTGACTTAAAACAACCGTGTTAGACTTAACAGTCCAGGATAATGAGAGGCCCCAGTTGCAGCTCGGTAATAAAATAACATTTTAGTTTTTTACAATATGAAATTGGCTGCATGATGTAGTGCTGTGTATATCAACTAGAGCTGCCACACTCACGTGATGGTGGTAAGAACTGGAGAATTGGCAGTGAGGTAGGTGAAGGCCGAGGGCGAGGTTATGGTGACGCCTGCTGAGCTGAGCACCACGTCGACAGCGCCTGCGTCATGAGCTGAGGTGCGGCAGGTGATACCATTGACACTGGCACTCTCCACCTGACATACCTGGCCCCCCGTTGTTACGCTCACCTCACCAGGTGTAAAGCCAGAGCCAATTAGGGTGAGGAGGGTACCGCCGTTGATGCTGCCTTCAGTAGGGATCACCATCGTGACCACCGGGCTCGTGGTAACCTCTACATCCTGGTTCACTGCGGCGTTCCCGAGGCCATCTATACTGACAGATATTGTATATGTCCCAGCGGGCAGACCAGCTGACTGACACACGATATTTTCGTCAGAGACAGAGCTGGGTTCACACGGGAACTCTGTTTGGTCTGTGTCGCGTCTCACGCGGGAGACCTTCAGTACTGGCGCTTCATCAGCCGCAGGAAGACTGCCAGCGACGCGCCACACCTCTCTTCTCTCCCGAATAGACATGGTAGGAGTGTTGGTGACTGCGCTCCACATATTCCCAGCGTCCAAGAATTTGTCAAAGGCGTCAAAGGAGTCACTTGCATGACGCTTAATTCGTCCACTTACAGTTTCCTCATTTGAAATATCATCTTCATCAAAAACAGACGGTCCATCATAGTTCTCAGCAGTCCTCTTGCGTCTTGCAGAAGTCTTAATGAACGTGACGATCACCTTCGAAGGATCTGAGCCAAACAGTGACCCGGTGATGTTAAAAGTCTCCCCAGACACGCTGACGTTACTCACTGACGAGGTGACGGTGTCGCTGAAGGTGAACTCCATCCCTTGCTCCAATTCAACGGGAATCTGTAGAAAATCGAGTATATTCAGTCATCTGTTTTACTTATCAACTTTCGTCATCTCTAATAGATGCGGTGGAACAATACACCTCTCCCATAACTGTCAGCGTTTGTTTACCACAATGCATTCTGGAGCATACACTTGGTCGGGTCAGCCATCTTTGTTTTTATCCCGCTTGAATTATATATCCAGCTGCACTTTGTTGCTAAAAGGTCAAAAGAAAACTATTGTGTTCTAGACTGTTTCAACGACAAGACGAACGCCTTCTATCAGTCACCAGTCTTCAATAATTCACTTTAAAACCTCCCTTTAACATCACTCCAATAACATTACTCACACCTCAACATAAACGACCTCGGTTTGTCCCATAATGCATTGCGGTAATTAAACGATGATACGCAATTATGCTTACACCATACTGGGAAGGGTGGAAGGCTGACAGGTGAGGTGGGGTGGGGTGGGGTGGGGTGGGGTGGGGCGGAGCGGGGTGGGGCGGGGTAGGGTAGGGAAAGGTAGGGTGAGGTAGGGTGTGTTTACTTCAACAGAGGCAGGAAGGAACTGACATAGGTTACATATCATCTATTATGTTTCTGACTCACAGAATACAACAAATAATTCCTACACCTAAAACATATATAAAATATTTTAACAATACTGCAACACTAAGATAAAAATAAAATAATGATTCATCCAAAATATACAAAAAAAAAAGATGATTTTTTTTTCATGTATGTAATTAAAATATTTTTTTAACTCATTCATGGCAATACATTTTAAGTTTAATATTAGTTACATATTTCCATGCATAAAATATCATAAAAACGTAATTACTGAACCAAAATGTATTACAAAATATACCAACTGTTGCCACAAGGTACTCGGACAACATGGCAGGTAGTGACGTCATGAGGAGTAGCTGTGTGGAGGGGTAACGGAGGCAAACTCGTGTATGTCTTATGTTGACAGATGCTGCTAAGGGTAGTACAGATCTCAGTCAGGTTCAGAGAAGACTGATCCTGAATGCACTTATTATTTAGAAGTAATTTAGAGCGTCTTCAAGAGGTCAATTGGTGTTAAATTGTGAAGGAGCCAATACCCAAAATTAAAAATACCTGTTACAACAACTAATAAATTTTACAAGAAAAACAACAAAAAAAGCGTAAGTTAAATTCCTACGTCAACATCCTAAATAACAGTTAACATTAATAACACCAATAACTTATCTGTTATGTTGAATACAGCTCAGCCACGTAAGTATAACAGCTCAGCCACATAAGTAAGATAAAAAAATATCTAGATATCACCAAGAGAACTGTGGAAGCAGCGTCAGTGTCGGGAGTTAAACTGACCACCAGCCGTACCAGTGAGGTGGGTGGCGGGAAACTACGGCTCTCTGGTGATCACAACCATAACTAGTCTATAATGGTTGTTATGAGCAAGATAAACTAATTGAAGTATTCTAACTAAATACACACTATTTTCATGTAATGCAAGGGGTAAATATTTCTTAAAGTGATACTAATCGGTTCACATCTGATAGTTACTGTATAATATTTTCCACCCAGGAAAAAATCAGGAAATATGGAAGCCACTTTTTGTACATTCTATTTCTATAAGCGCCAACTAAGAGACCTTGAGAGTCAATCGTGTGTCTCGTGGCGTCATTTGAGGGCGTGAAGGAACGCCTCAGATGAAAGTTTAAAAATAAATTCTATCTTATTTTAAGCTCCAGAATACACATATAATGATCACAAAAACTGTCTAAAATAAAATGACACTCCTGAAATGTTGTGAATACAGCCAGACCTCGCTCATCCGGACTCGAAAGAAAAAGGTATCGAACCCCAAAGCTTCACACAAACTGTTGCTAAATGGTCCGAAACGTCACTAGTCGACCTCCTTCATTACTGGCAGCACCCGGAGCTCCTACCAGGCTGTGTTACCTCCTTCACCCTCTGTGATACTTAGGGTAAAATACTAAGAGGAAACTATTAAATACAAACTCTAATTATCTTATTTAAGTATCTATCATCATATCCTAACCTAATTTGACCGAAACTAACCTAAAGCACAAAATTATCGCAGTATGATTAGTACACGACGCACAAATATTATAAATTATTTCTTGGTTTGACCAAATAAATAAGAAATTCAGTTTTTCCTTATGACTATTGAATACCACACACCGGTTTATGTGGGTTGTGTGACAGGTGTGCTCAGTTACCCCACACCTGTCATCTGGGTTGTATGACAGGTGTGTTTGCTTACCTTGAGGGCAGAGAGAGTGAGGTAGAGGAGGACGCTACCAGCCGGGGCGGGGGGGGAGGAGCAGGTGATGGAGGTGGGGGACACACTCACCACCTTACAGCTGTTTGATCCCAACTTCACTGAAGCAATGTTGTCGAAGGCCTGGAGTCCACTCCCTGGTGGGTGAGAAAAGAAAAAGGTTAAAAAAATCCCAAATAGACAAAAAAAAAGAGGTCAGTTCTCACAAAGTGTCTCCACACATTGAATTTATGTGACATTAGGCTGCGTTCACACCAAACGAGTCGCGTCGAGTCACCAGTCATTTAACTTGAGTCAATTTGACTCTTTTCCGTTCACACAGAAAGAGTCAAGAAGAGTCACGTTTGTCAATATCCTGTCAGCTGTCAAGCAGTATGGACACAGTCTCTCTCAGCCTTACATACTCTGTGGTGGATTCGGCGGCGTAGGAGGAAGAGGAACCGAGTATGGCTGCAGGAACTCAACACCAAAAGACCAGATTCCTTCAGTCTCACGTTTACACGCTTAACCATTCACAAGCTCAGCCTTCAGTGTGGCACAGAGCTCCCTCTAGGCAACACTAGACACAGTGACCACCGCTAGCCAAACTACGGGAGTCAATTTGCTGTGACCTTACCTCGAGAGAGGTCATATAAAGAAGGATATAAATGATGTTATCAAATAAGAAAAAGAAGGTAAAAATCGTGATTGTAGTGATGAGTCCTGACCTTTGATAGTGACGATGGTGCCCCCGGCCAAGGACCCTTCTGTGGGCTGTAGTGAGGTCACGACGGGCACTACGATGACATCAATGTTGTGTTCATTACTACTGACCTCAGTATTGGCTGTGCCTCTGGAGGGTAGAAGGGGGCTGGTAAGTGGCATATGTGTTGTTACTTGTTTAATACATATAAATCTTCACAGAGGGACAAACACACACAATATATATATATATATATATATATATATATATATATATATATATATATATATATATATATATATATATATATATATATATATATATATAAATAAAGTTTCAGAACACCTAACCTAACGTACAGTAATTTTTCATGCCAGTAAATCTAAGGACAGTAAACTAAAATTACATTATCTCAATAATGAGATCTGGTGTGAAGAGAGACTAGGAAGGTAGGAGGAGTCAGGCCAGAATACGCAACAACATAACAGTGTTGGTGTCATAACTGAGCCTTTGTACCACCTGCCCTTTGATGGAACTGACAACCCTCTGAAGGTTGTGAGTCATAGTACCTGGAGGAGAGAGGGATCTGTGGGTGTTGACGTCGTACAACTTCGTGGATATATATTAAAGACTGTATAGACTTCCTATAGTGTCAACAGCTCGTGTGGGAGTTATAGTGTCAACAGCTCGTGTGGGAGTTATAGTGTCAACAGCTCGTGTGGGAGTTATAGTGTCAACAGCTCGTGTGGGAGAACTAACACTAGCGAGTGGATCGATATGTAGAGAAAATTACCTTCAAGGGTTTGTGTTGTGACCGTGGTAACTTGACTACATTAGTACGGTGAATATAAGTAAGACTGGATGACAATGAAATGAAACTGAATCATTATGAGTCATAATGCCGTAATTCCGACTGTGTTTTACCGAATGCTTTGATTGGTTGTCTTGTGACCGGCTACAAGACCATGGCGTCATAAAAATGTTTTCTTTGTTAAATGTGATACATATATAAGATATAAGTAACAATTCATTTCCTTTTGACAATTATTAAAAGGGTGAATATCATAGAGAATGCACTGTTGAAATGGATAACCATTATAAAATATATAATTCTAAAATGACTGATAAAATAACAACAAATAAAGAACTAACAGTAAAGGACTCACCGAAAGTCGATGTATAACGGCGTGTAGATGCTTTTGACTAAGGCTTTACAGTGAAAGTCATATGAAAGGCACTGAACTCAAGGCGGATCCAGCGAGGGATCCCCCCCCCCCCTTTTTCATCAGAAAACTCCAATACTTTTCCTTATTGCAGTATTGTACTCAGGCATTTTTGTATAGTAAAAATTAATTACTATTGACCTAAGAATATCCCCTAATATCAAGTGCATATGGCTTCAAATGGCCTCCAAATGCCCAGGATATTGGTCAGATTCACCCAAAAAATTTTGTGGGAGCTTACAGTACCCCCTCTTCCTCCCCCAGATGAATGGGCTCGCTTTGCTGGCCTGGTTCCCCCGCCCAAACTTCTTGGACCCTCCCCCTTTTGATATTCCTGGATCCGCCCCTGGAACTCAAACATGGAACAGGACGAAATAACTCTCTTTGTGTTCCTAGTAGACGTCATCCTCTCGTGCCAACTCATCATAAAGAAGTATGGCTAAACTATGGATTATAAAATGAAGGAAATAAAATAAAATGCCTTCGTAATCATTATATATCATTTTTATGACCCCAAAAGGCCCAATTAACAATTTCGGTATTTTTCCGACTGGCCACCGGGGCCGGTACAGGGACGTCACGATCTACCGACTGCGTCATCGAATTTCATTTTTTTTACCGTCTAGCAGACGAATTTCTGTCAAACGGCAGCACTGATTGTCATTATGAACCGGTGGTGAATGCATTCGAATATTTAGAAGTAATGTTCAATAAAGAGAGAAATGGAAACATGAAAGAAGACAATAAGGGACACAGGAGGAGGTGGGTCTTAGAGAGTGTGAACAGTGAGAAGAAATAACACGACGACACAAGGTTTATTTTCTTATGTACAGATGTAAGGCTTAAGTGTTTCAGATCAGCGACACTTACAGACTGAGGGTAATGAAGATGGGGAATTTGAAAAGGAATATACGAGTTATATAATAGAGTTTAGAGGGAAAACATAAGAATTAAAAGAGTCTCCAGAGAGCTAAATGGTTAAATGAACACTAAAGATAATTAAAGTAGGAGTTTGATGGTGTATAGATCAGACCATTGAAATTATACCTCCAATAATGACTGTGGGTCGTGTGCAGCACTAGAGTCGCTTTGTGGTGATAACATGAGCGAATCTGATCAACTCAAATTAGTACACACTTATTTTTTTCTTGTTGTGAAACTTTGTGAATTATTAAGGAGTCAGAGATTCATTTTATATACTGAGTAAGTAAGCTGAAAATATTATAAAGTACGTCATTATGTAGATATTTGTAAAGCTTCCCTTGGCAATTTCCTGTTCAACACAATTCTCACTGTTATATTGTCTTTTATCTCAGGGTTGTGTATCCATTAATCTACCTTACATGAATAGAGGAAAGATAAATAAATAATGGACAAATGGAAAGATAAATAATCAATTAATAAATAAAAAATCTCAGGTTAAGAACTAAAAACTTACTGATGACTGCATAAACAAGTCTTACCTGTTAATGATGGTGACTTGGAGAGGGAATGGCACCAGGGATACGAGATGTGATAGGTCGTCCAGGTTACAGGTGAGGGAGGTGAGGGAGGAGGTGATGACGGTGCAGGTAGCGGCGCCCACCTGCACCTGTACCTGACACAGCACCGTACTGAACCCTGACCCACCAATGGTTAGCTCCGATCCGCCTCTCACCTGTACCCCACCTCTGCCAACACACACACACGTGAAAGGGAATTATTACAAGGAATTATATGATGATTATTTGATAATTATAGGTGAAATTATAGGCATAGGCGTAAATATAAGCTAGGAAAGGAAGATGGAGATGAATTTGATGACTTATGAATGGATGAACAGACGGTCAGACGGACAATTTTTAATATAGACAGACATGCACAGATAGACAGAGACATATACGGATACAAAATAGTTTACAAAGAAATAACAATACATATCTTTATTTATCCTCAGTAAAATAATAAAATGTGAACTGATGGGATGAGAAATGAAACCAACAATTTAAACCGGAAACAAAAACATTATTTCGTATTTCTACTATTGTTATTTTTTTAGCTCTAATTGCTGAATGTATTTTATCATTAATGTTCAAGTTTCATCTACGGGTTATAATATATTTTTCCTACACATTTTTATTCGGTAGAGAGAAAAATACTAATATTCTATACTCAACGAAAAAAAATAATAATAATCTATCACCAAAAAAATATTCTTAATAATAAAATATAAACGATGATCAATGATAATAAATTCGAGTCCTATTGAAGAGAAATATGATAAAGGTTCTACCATAAGACAACAGTGAGACTCCAGGTAGCGTTGTGAAGCATGATGGTAGACGAAGACCTGAGACTACCAGTACAACAACAACCTCTCGTATGCTTCTCAGAGTTCTCACAATTTAAGCGAAAAAAATAGATGATTTTAGCATGTAGAGTTGTAGACAAGATGGCATCGAACTGAAGGTCCTATAAGAGAGTATAAAGAATCTAACATTGAATCTTATCTATTTATTTATATTCCTTTATGGTTTCGTTTATTTAATTCTTGATATAAATCGCTCTTCACCAGATTAAAATTGAAACATTATAGTAATAATGACGTGGTGGAGCCTTTTGAGTGTTGGAACCATGTTGGTGTCAGACAACTCTGCGTCAAATAGTGCCATGGGTCAGCGAGGGGGAGAGGGGAATTCTCTTTGACCTACACAAGCAGATACCAGATGAGTAGGGTGGGGAGTGGGGGTGGGGAGTGGGGAGGGGAGCTCAGCCGTGACAGTACCTTACACCTTGAAGACTCTGGTCAGTGTTGGTAGTGATGTTAGTGACGGTGGGTGTAAGACACAGATCGGTGATGAAGTACAGGTGTTGGGTGTCGTCAGGTGATGTAGGTGTAGTTGACTCACATCCTACCACTGGACTCTCCACCAAGTCCTCACACTCGGCTACACTTACACCCACACCTACAGGAATTACTGGTTACATAATCTGTCATATACACCTGCAAAAGGAACTTAGCTTTGGGTAATTAGTCCAAGCACACCTGCAGAAGTTTAACTAGTAGTCAATTTTTCTCATTCACACCTGCATATAAACCCACACCTGTATGTAGTAACCCCCAAGAGTGACTGATTAATGCATGATCACCCATTCACACATGCAAGAGGTAATTATATGCAGTTAATTACTGATATACACCTGCTAAAGAGATTCTATAATAATTATCACCAACACCTGTGAGAGGGGGTTAATTAGGAATACTTAATCACTCATAAACATATATGTATTTATGAATGGTTAACTAATTACTCTTATATAAGGATACAAGAAATAATCATTATCCTTGTTACCTTTATAAAGAAAACAATCCAGTAATATACCGTCATTCCATAATCAATATCAAACTAGTAATATTATAATAACTTTACTGTAGTTATAATGACAGAGTAAATTGTTTTCAGATTCAAGTAAACAAAATAAAAGAATCAATGTAGTCAATAATGTAAAGTGAATAAATTATTGTCAATATAACTAATATAATTTATACTGTCTATAATATAATCGGTGTAATCATCTCTCTCTCTCTCTCTCTCTCTCTCTCTCTCTTTGTTACGCCTTCATCCTCTCTCCTGTTATAGCCATGTTCTGCAATATCAAGTTCCATTCACAGCAACGACCCCAAATATCTATCTTGTTCAGTCATGTACCTTCGTGTTTTGTATCCAAGGGAGATGTCTGGGTTAGGTTAGGTTAGGTTAGGTTTGATCACTCACTTTCCTCACTGGGGTCATACTCCGCCTCGACGCCCCCGAGTGTCAGGTTGACCTTATACACCAGCTGATCGGGCTTAGTGACCTCCACATGACCTGACAACACCAGTTCTTCAGACACAGGTGATCCAGCGTAGTAGTTGGTGCCAGCGTGGAGGAAGGTCACGGTCAGGGTGCCTGCACACGTGTGGACAGCTTGTTAGTACAGTTAATATATCAAGATCATTAATATATACAAGATAAAATAGCTATTATTTGTGTCCAGTAAAGAGACTCGGATAATGTTTGATTATACAGTACATACAAGTGATGGTGATGGTAGTGACCCCAGACTTACCTGATGACGTCGGAGAGCCAGAATGGAACCCAGCCCCGTCATACTCCCAGTGGGCGGGTGAGGTGACCTGGAACACGTTGTACAGCAGCTGGGAGTTCGGGGTGACCTTCTTCCACACCCAAGTGACCTTGTCTCCCTCCCTGGCCCTCACCACCTGTGGCTCCCATGACAAACCAACACCACCTGCAACACAATATAATCTGTCCTATACCATTTAACTTCCACTTGTTTAACACACACACACAGGAGTGGGAGGTGAATAAAATATTTCATTACTAAAAGGAAAATGAAGTGAACAGAGAAGTGTCCTTCTGAGTGAGGTCACGTAGGCCAGGTGTGCTGAGGTGTTGAACAGCAAAAACGTGGTGCACTACCTCGTTAACAAGTGGGGCCATGGCGGACCTCACGGGTTGTTATGGGGGACCTCACAGGGTTGTTATGGGGGACCTCACAGGGTTGTTATGGGGGACCTCACGGGGGGTTATGGGGGACCTCACAGGGTTGTTATGGGGGACCTCACGGGGGGTTATGGGGGACCTCACGAGGTTGTTATGGGGGACCACGGGGGTGTTAGCCAGGGGACCTCACGGGGGGTTATGGGGGACCTCACGGGGGTTGTGGGACCACGGGTGTTATGGGGACCTCACGGGTGTTGGGGACCTACGGGTGTTGGGGACTCACGGGGTGTTATGGGGACCACGCGTTATGGGGACCTCACGGGGGTTAGGGGACCTCACGGGGGGTTAGGGGACCTCACGGGGGTTAGGGGACCTCACGGGGGTTAGGGGACCTCACGGGGGTTAGGGGGACCTCACGGGGTTAGGGGACCACGGGGTGTTAAGGGGACCCTACGGGGGTTGGGGACCTCACGGTGTTATGGGGGACCTCACGGTAGGGGACCTCACGGGGGTTAAGGGACTTCACGGTGTTATGGGGATCTCACGGGGTGTTATGGGGACCACGGGTGTTATGGGACCTCACGGGGTGTTATGGGGACCCACGGGGTGTTAGGGACCACGGGTGTTATGGGAATTTACGGGGTTGTTATGGGGACCTCACGGGGGTTAGGGGGACCTCACGGGGTTAGGGAGACCTCACGGGGGTTAAGGGGACCTCACGGGGGTTAAGGGGACCCCACGGGGGGTTATGGGAACCCCACGGGGTGTTATGGGAACCACGGGGTGTTAAGGGACCTCACGGGGTAGAGGGGGACCTCACGGGTAAGGGGGACACGGTGTTGGGGACCTCACAGGGTTGTTATGGGGGACCTCACAGGGTTGTTATGGGGGACCTCACAGGGTTGTTATGGGGGACCTCACGGGGGGTTATGGGGGACCTCACGGGGGGTTATGGGGGACGGTTGTTATGGGGGACCTCACAGGGTTGTTATGGGGGACCTCACAGGGTTGTTATGGGGGACCTCACAGGGTTGTTATGGGGGACCTCACGGGGGGTTATGGGGGACCTCACGGGGGGTTATGGGGGACCTCACGGGGTGTTATGGGGGACCTCACAGGGTTGTTATGGGGGACCTCACGGGGTGTCGCAGCAATTCGTTCATTACCTGAAGCCACAGTACCATGAGAACACTATGTAGTTTTGCAGAACCTTGCTTCCTGTCATGTGGTGTTGTGAGACGTCCCAGTTAGGTGTGGAGGTCAACATTTACCCGCTCCTCAACCGTTCCCTGTGCGGACTGGGTTAACACTTGTCACATGGTCGGCAGGAGTTCTCGCCTCTCAAGTAGTATCCTGGGACCTCGCTGGTGGCTCTGAAGGGCATGGCCAAGACCCTCGGTTGTTACTGATTAGCGTTGAAGTTCTCTGGTGTTCAGGACTGTACTGTTCAACTCTGTTTCCACATCCTTTCCGAAATGTAATGTTCACTTTCATCATTGGTTTCCTGTGGGATTTTTCTGATGTATCCCGCTGGAGAGAAGCGGTTGAGGGGAGGCAGCTGGTGTAGGGCTAACATTATTGGCCCAGGCAGCTACAGGGATAGAGCCAGATACATTTGACCTTAAGGTTCATTTCTGTCTATTTGTAATTGTGTGTGTGTGTGTGTGTGTGTGTGAGGGGCCACCAATGTAGGCTCGACACTTTACACCAGATCCCACAAAAGCTTGTAATCTATGCAGTTAAAAAAAATCCCCTCGGTAATGCTTGAGAAAACTTCATTAAAACAAAACAATCTGACAAGCTTCAAGCCGTAAATCCCTGACATGTTCCTTCTCATCATTCACAGATAATCCAAAACCTTGATTCCCAAAAGCCCTGCATATTGGCATAGTTCTCCATCTCGCTGCACCAATCCACGCTGACTAACACGTGTATTGTGGAGGAGTGATGGTCGTTCAATATGAGTTCCAACGTCATACTAGGTAAAATCTATCAATGGTATTCACGGCACAACGAAGTCAATAACCCTCCCCCACTACACTTGGTCAACACCTGCCTCCACTACACTTGGTCAACACCTGCCTCCACTACACTTGGTCAACACCTGCCTCCACTACACTTGGTCAACACCTGCCCCCACTACACTTGGTCAACACCTGCCTCCACTACACTTGGTCAACACCTGCCCCCACTACACTTGGTCAACACCTGCCCCCACTACACTTGGTCAACACCTGCCTCCACTACACTTGGTCAACACCTGCCTCCACTACACTTGGTCAACACCTGCCTCCACTACACTTGGTCAACACCTGACTCCACTACACTTGGTCAACACCTGACTCCACTACACTTGGTTTGCACCTGCCTCCACAGGTAACAGCCCGGATCTTACCTGTATAAACTCTGACGGATGACACTCATGAGACAGTGAATATAATACATAAAGAACATAATGGAGGAAACTGCAGCGGGCCTATTGGTCCATACTGGGCAGTCCCATTTACACCCAACCCCTATCACTCGTATATCTATCCAACCTATGTTTGAACCTATCCAGCGTATTCGAGTTAACGATGACGTTTGATAACTTGTTCCACTCATCCACTACTCTATTTCTAAACCACTGTTTACCTATCTCGCTCCTAAATCTAAATTTGTTTAATTTAAAACCATTGTTACGAGTTCGCTCCTGGCTGGATAGTTGAATACCTTTGTTATATCACCTTTGTTTAACCTTGACTTCCATGTATACACCTCTATCATAATTATCGCCCCTCACTCTACGTCTCTCGAGGGAGGGCAAATTAAGATGCTTTAAGCTGTCTCTGTACTCAAGGTTCCTAATGCCCGGGATTAGTCTTGTCATTCTCCTCTTAATTCTTTTTCGAGATTTTATATCCATTTTGTAGTACGGTGACCAAAACTGAACTGCGTAATCCAAGTGAGGTCTCACAAGCGCTAGTCTTGTAACTAACACTCCTTTGTATGAACCCAGGTACTTTGTTAGCCTTGTTTCGAGCAAATACGCATTGTTTACTTGACTTTAAGATTCCTACTTATCATTACACCTAAATCTTTTTCACAGTCGGATTTTGTCTATAAGATTGTTGTTCATCTGGTATCTGGTTTCTCTGTTTACATCTCCTAGACTAAGTACTTTACATTTGTCTCACAACAACTCAGTGTCAGGAGACCCTCATCACTTCAGGCCCAACGATTGCTCAAAGACTCTTGAGATAAACACTTATGTCTGGGCAAATGTGAGACCTGTGGTGTACTAAACAGGTGTGGTTCTATATTGACTAATACCTGTTGTGCTGTACCTTAACTTTATTAAAACAAAGTAACTGGTGCTACTGACTACAGAGACGCCATTAAACTGCCAGATATTAGGAGACGTTTCTCTGTCTCATTATCACAAGAGGATCAGAGACTCACTGTACTGGGACTAAAAACGACTGGAATTTTTTGACGAGTTTCCAGCCAGGCTAATTGACGTGACCAGACACCAAGGAGCGAAAAGTTGTTAGTTCTTGATCAAATCTCTGCAACTTTTAAATATAAATTACAACCATAGATGATATAGTAGTAATTAAGACAAATATACATGACGTCATACAGTCTAGAAGTCAGTGAGAGACATCCATGACATCACCATAACTGATTTGTGGAAAATATACACTGAGTAAAGTCTTTATGTTGTACAGTATAGGTGTGTCAGCGGGTGTTACAACAGTCAGCATATTGTTAATAGTTTACTTGTACAACTGAACACAATAATCCTAGGTAGCTCGTTTACCAGCGTGTGATCAAGAGTTAGTGACGACCCTTACCAGTTTGTGACCCGGAGTTAGTGACGACACATACCATATTGTGACCCAGAGTTGGTGATGACACTTACCAGATTGTGACCCGGAGTTAGTGACGACATGGGTGACGGGGAGGAGGTGGGTACGGCAGGTAAGTGCCGTGTCATGACACTCCATGACCTGACACTCCACATTTTCCCCAAGGTCCACCTTCAGCAGGGAACAGTTGGTGCCAAACCCAGCTCCCTTCAACACGACCAGAGTGCCTCCATGGACTGACCCGGACAACCTGGACGTGGCCGTGACCTTCAGCGTGTAGTTTACCCTCACAGTGCCGCTGTGGGGAGTGCCAATTGGTTATAACCTGAGGTGCCAACAACTGTGACACAAGAAGACATCTACTGTGTGTGTGTCAGGATTCGTAACTATTGGTCAAATGATGTCAGATCACCTGAAGATCAACCCCCAGCCCGTTTCACCTAATGATTAACCACTGTAGCACTTCCTAAGAGAGTACGTTACGTTATATTAGGTTAGGTTAGGTCCGAGGAGGGGGTGAGGGGGGGGGGGAGAGTTCTTAGACTAGTACCATCAGCTCAAAAACGACTACAGTTTATGGACTACAAACTACAATACCTCACAGACGAGGTGATCGGGGAAAGAAGAAAACAAGGAAATCAAATAATCAGGGAAACTAAAATAGAAAAACCTCCTAAGATCATCCTTGTCCTTAGATCCTATTAAAACCCTTACAACTATCAAGAACAACAAGATAAGATACGACAGAGTTATCCAAACAAGATGAGTATTTTAAAGATGTCAGGATATATCAGGGTTAAAAAATTCTAAGGTAGTAAGGATATAGATTTAGCGTAATGTCTAACCTGGCATGACCCAGCTTGCCGGCGTAGACCCAGGTGGGAGAACAGGTGAGGTGCAGGTGAGAACACAGGAGACTGGGGAATAATATAAGTTAAAATAATCCTAATATATACTAAGTGAATTATTAATAAGAACAATTAATTACAGAACCAAAAATATAATATAATTTTTAATACCAAAATTACTATCAAATATCGTGTATAAATATTTTCTATATTTAAGTTCAACTACCTGAAACTTTTCTAACCATGACTATTCCTCAACGTATCATTAATTACAACAACTTAGACCTATGGCTAAAAAGTCTTATGTAAAACCACAGGTGAATAAAGTAAAATTGGTAGGTCATTAGTGCTTATGCTCAGGTGAGTGTGTGTATGATAGTTTGGCTAATTCATATACATACATATATACATACATACATACTATATCACCCACCTTAACCCAGCCATCAGTGCCGTTACCAAAGCCAGTGCCTGTAATGGTCAGCTCCTCACCACCTGTGATGACATAAGTAGTTATCTTGTATATAATAATTTACTAAACATCAAAACAAAATAACATTAAACATAAACACAACCAAACTTAAATCGTGGTGAAGTTTACCTCCGAGATTATTATAAGGTATTGGCCGGTAGTGTTAGACCGAGATAAGAAAAGCAAAGAGGAATAATGAACTGAAGGTAGCAAGGGAGGCGAAGTCAACCCCCAAGGGATTCTTCAAAATGTATCAAACTAAAACACGAGACAAGATTAGACCAATACAGTCAGATATCGGCGAGCTAACTGATAACGACAGAGAAATGAGCAGTAATCTGAACAGATATTTTTAAACAGTTTTCTCCATCAAAAATTTAAACATGATACCCGAGGCACCGACTATATACAGAGATAGTGAAGAAAATAGATTAAGCGAGATAGTAGTGACTAGTAACGATGTTAGTAAGCAAATAGACAAGCAAAGCCTAGTAAGTCACCAGGTCCCGACGAGATATTTGCCAGAGTATTAAAGGAATGTAAGGAAGAGCTAAGTATGCCCTTAGCAAATGAGGGGCAATATGATAGAGGTGTATAAATGGAAGTCAGGGCTAAACAAAGGTGATATAACAAAGGTACTCAAACTATCCAAACAGAAGCGAACTCGTAAAAATGGTTTTAAATTTGACAAAATTAGATTTAGGCGCGAGATAGGTAAGCATTGGTTTGGAAATAGAATAGTGAATGAATGGAACAAGTTACCAAACATCATCATTAACTCGAATACGCTGGATAGCTTCAAACATAGGTTGGATGGATATACGAGTGATTTTTTTTTAATTTTCCATAAAGTGAAGGAAAAATTCGAGAAATCAAAGTTTTAACTAAAAATTCTCGTGAAAAACTTCTAAGTTCTCATTCTTTCAGGTATGACGTCATAATAGGGTCCAAGCCCACACTCTCCATTAACATACTTAATACTAAATACGAATAATAAACTTACCTCAATCTATCTGTCAAATTCTTATTTCAGCAACTTTACATTACGAGAATATTAGAAGCTTAAGAAAAAGTTATTTTGGCATTTCTTGTTTTATTTTTCTCACGAGACAAATTACCAATATCACAACTTTAACCCTCGGAGTGTGATGTATTGGTGGGCGACTCTAGGTGTAATATACCCAAAATAATAATAAACTAGCGGGAAGATTTACTAGTAGCCCCAATCGGACACTTTTAGGATTCATTTCATCCATTTTTTTTTAGGAAATATTTCTTTACGACTATCCAGCGTTACAATCCACTCTTTCATTTGTAGATCTTGATTAACTTACGACAAAACAACACCATACCATTCCCTGCTTCACCTGACTTACCTAACACAGAAGATGTGGTTGGAGTGACAGAGGTGAGGGAAGGCGAGGCGTTGAGCACATACGTAAAACCTTCCTCCAGTGTCGCATTCTTCCCTCCCACTACCACGTTCACTTCGGCAACGCCCTCAACCTGTTTAAACACAGAAAGAAAAAATATATGAATTAATCTTGAATTTGTACACCTGTAAGAGTACCAGTGAAGGAGACTCAACAAAGGAGAATTAAGTCAGTCGAAACACTATACTAAATTTACAAGTAAAATTATGTTGAATTTAAAAATAAAATTATATCAAATTTAGAATATAAATCAAGAAAGGTATCAAGTAATATAAGAAGTTGGTACAGTACCTGAAAATACAGAACTTTTGTTGACTATTATTACCATGTATTTTTTTATGGCGAATAAAAGTGTGATTTTCTTTATGAATGATGATGGACCCCCGTCTTGGTGACAGCTATCAGGTCAGGGTTACAGCTATCAGGTCAGCGTCACAGCTATCAGGTCAGGGTCATAGCTAACAGGTCAGCGTCACAGCTATCAGGTCAGCATCACAGCTATCAGGTCAGCGTCATAGCTATCAGGTCAGCGTCACAGCTATCAGGTCAGGGTCACAGTTATAACGGAGGCTTCAGATGACAACTTCTACAAGTCTGAGTCAGTGAGTGAAGGCCACACACCAGTGACTTACTGTACAGTATAACGTTAACAAGCTCGGAGGGTGTCGTGCTACAGGGATGGATGATGTGCTGCCGTGTTGTGTAAACAGAAGAGGGGCAGTACTGAGACTGAGGAGGAGAACGTGCTAGGAAGGTTCACTGTCACACCAACATGTTCTGTCAGTATTTATCTCTTCCCCACAAAAATAAATAATAATAATAATATCAAAAACTTCTTGGAACACTTTGACTGACTCGGGTAATATATATTATACCTGACGTAACAGTACAACATGGCGACACTCACACCAGGTGGCGCTATACAGGTGACGGAGACGACGGAAGCAGCTGTCACGGTGCACTGATTACCGTTGATGGTGATCACATGATCCCGCCACCCTGATGTTGTTGATGGCAAACCGCTGCCAGACACCACGACGGGGTAGCCGCCCCCGGTGCCTCCCGAAGAAGGAGACAGGGAGGTGAGGGAGATGGAGACACTGTAGTTTGAGGTGACTGAAGGGTTTGAGTGGAGGGCGGCGCCCACAGGCTGGACCACCACAGACACTGCGTGGGTCCCAGCAGGCAGCTCCTTGGCTGTACACATCACCTCCCAGGTCATCGTCTAACGCGCCATGTTGACCAAATTTATGAATTAATTTATATTTGATACATTTAATTCAAGGTATATATATATATATATATATATATATATATATATATATATATATATATATATATATATATATATATATATATAAAACATTTACTATGTGTGTGTGTGTGTGTGTGTGCGTACATTCATGTGCTGCTGAATTCGTGAACTGGGCTCCTAGCTTGGTTAGGTTGGCTTAGGTCAGGAGCCCATGTCACACACTGGGGCCAGTAACCTACATCCAGACCTCTCCTCTCACCTGAGTAGTGACGTCACAAACCCCTGAGGGCCTCCTGACCTGATCTACAGTGAGGAAGTTGGACAGTCTTATTATTTCCTGAAACTATTAATTTCGGTTTTGTTTTATCAAAAAAATTTGTCCTTCACTAATGTTGGAACTAGGTGCACAGCTCACTAGGCTGTAATATCACCTGTTATGACTCACCTGTAATATCACCTGCTATGACTCCCCTGTTATATCACCTGCTATGACTCACCTGTTATATCACCTGCTATGACTCACCTGTTATATCACCTGCTTGACTCACCTGTAATATTAATTGACTGACCTGTGACGCGTTGAGAGAGACGATCGAGCAAAAACTGTCGCCCACCATGATGTGATAGTCATCTGCAACAGTGCTGGCGTTACCTTCACCACTGATGGTCAAAGTGTGTTCGCCAGGCAAACCTGTAATTAGAGAATAAGTCAAGTATTCCTTAATTACTGTAGGTCATTAAGCAATTGTCGACGATATCAATAGTGTGATCTCTCTCTCTCTCTCTCTCATCCTAACACTGGCTAGCCAAGGGATGAAATTCACACTTAGAACAGGACACTTATAGAGAGAACCTTCACTTACCAGGTGTTCCATTGACCATAGTGAGATATAGTGCTTGGTCGTTGTTGTAGGTAAAGGAACAGTCAGATGAACACCCAGCCGGGTACCTGTACACTGTGACCGCTACCTGTGTCAGGCGTAAAGTTTATTATTATTATTATTATTATTATTATTATTATTATTATTATTATTATTATTATCATCATTATTATTATTGTTGATATTATTATTATTATTATTATTGTTATTGTTATTATTATTATTAATGGTAGTAATAGTAGTATAGTAATTCTCTATCTCTCGGGCATCAGATACCTTCTTATCTCTGTTCACTTTTTCTGCTAGTGTGTGTGTGTGTGTGTGTGTGTGTGTGTGTGTGTGTGTGTCCCAGACTTACATATGGCTCAGTCCTCCTGACGGTGAGAAAATCGAGGCTGAGAGGAGAGTGCAAGATTTTTCCTTCTGCCACTCTTCGTATTCCCAACGAGAGGGAATCGCTGAAATAAAATAAATAAAAATTAATAATATTTTTTTTCCCGTGTACATTGAAAGAGTAGGGCAAAAAGGCAAAATATCATTAGCAATCAGTAAATGTAAGTAGGAGACAGACAGACGGGAAGACAGACATAAACAATAAGGAACTCACCCATCAAACACTAAGTCCTCGTCGTTAACCTTAGCGAGAGTCTTCCTGCCCGGGTGCTCAGTCCACTCAATATACCAGGAGAAGCCGTAACAGTTCCCTTGGCCGGTCACCTCCACGCCCTTCACACCTAGTCCTCCCGCTATCAAGTCCTGTACCTCCCGCCGCGATGCCAAAGGTGAGATTCCTGGCCAGAGTAAAGCATCTCGAGGTGGTATTTGAGGTGAGTTATGCACATTATTATTATTATTGATATTTAATTGCAAGTTCTTGAGGTAGTATCTATGATGACGCGGGAATTAAAATCACTAGAGGGATTATATCTTAAGTTGACTCGGTATCATAGGGGAAATTATTTTAAAATTATTGATACCGAATTCCTGATGCTGGAATTGTGACGTCTTATAAAACTGTAAGAAAAGTCATTAATAAACTTGTTGGTGATCATAGCAGGGAGTAGTCTAACAAACTCTTCCTGGTCTACAAACTGATCACCCAGGCGGCAACAACGTGACAACCAACGATGATCTAGGAGGTCCGACACACACACCCAGCCACAGCCCCCAAGGAACGCCCGTCACCTCCCCGTCGACGCGGAACCATTACTCCCTCAAGAGACACGTGTATTATAAAGCAGCCTTATCATCACCACTTTGTTAACCTCAGCAGTGAAAAAAAAGGTATTGTATAGTTCTCGGCGTTAGTGATGGTCACCTCTCTTGGTCTACCTCGCGGGTATATTACTTAGTCCTCCTTGAAGTGTCTGTCTCTTTCATTTTCTTTTCTCAGACTAAAGGGCGACAGAATCCCTCCTGTCGTTGCTGGCATCACTCTCCGTCGCCTTGTTACCTAGACAAAACAGAGAAGAGACAGCCGAGACGCCTCTTAGACACTGACACAAGACAACGCGACTTGGAATTAGAAACAACACAGATGCTCAAGAAAATTTCTAGTACACAGATTAACTCTTTGTGGTACTCATCCTCTTGCGGCAGCTCCGAGTATAATTCTCAGCTCAAGTCAATGTTTGAGAAATGTCTGAACGACTCTTAGAGGCCAGCAACACTACTGGCCAGACCTGGAACACTGCCCTTTTGGACAGTTATACAGGTTGCCCAACCAACACTCGTGCCACCGTCAACTGCAGCCAGTGAGGTAGAAGGTGAAGTTCTTCCTGATCACCTGAGAGACTCCTGAAGTACAAGGAACCACCGAATAGGATAACCACACATTCATGTCACCCCAACCAGCTCATGAAAAAAAAAATGACTTGTTTTAGACCTTGCCCACAACCTTTAGTTTGTACCCAAATCTCAAGAATTTTTAGACCTCCAAATATGGTGTAATAAAATACATAAAGATAACTAATGATATTATGAGGCCTTAATACATACGATTCTGTTCAGCCATTGTTAGTCTTCTCTCTTAAAAGATCCCCTGAGAAAAATTAGAGTGAGTAAAATAACTTAACAGAGTCAACAAACAAATCACCACGAGTAAACTACAACCTGGCGTGTGTGTGTGTAAGCGAACGACATCATAATGACCTTCCCTCACTAACACTTGACATGTAAAATACCTGTACACTGACCTTTAATAGCAATGTTCTCAATATCCAGGGCCCAGCTGCCACTCACTACATGTGATGCCTCCCGCTGCCTGCCGACGATCACATTGCCACCATCCAGGGTAAAGGTGTAATTGTTGGCACTGGCTAGTTCACTCTTCCAGCCAAGGTTCACTGCCATAAGATAACGGGTTCTGTCTTACAATCTTTGTTGAGTAAGTGTTTTTACCGTAAGATGGCAAGAGTGTCTTTACTTTACCTTAAAACAACAACAGTGTCTTTACTTTACCTTAAAACAACAACAGTGTCTTTACTTTACCTTAAAACAACAACAGTGTCTTTACTTTACCTTAAAACAACAACAGTGTCTTTACTTTACCTTAAGATACAAATGTTTGCTGTTTTACCAAGAACAGTTATCGTCCTTAACTTGCCTCAGAACAGAGATGCATTATTTAGCCATGTATATTTTTCGGGTTACCGGAACAATAGCCAAAAGCAGCTATCGCTCTGGTTGTCAAGGAGGGGAGACGAGATATACCTCCTACAATAATTCACATTAACCATTTAGCAGTCTTAGTGACGTTAATAATAGGAGAGAACCTACTGTACACACCTGCTTCATGACCCGGAAGTTAATAATAGGAATAAGTAAGAAACTGCACTAATTAACTTACTATCTTCTGTCACAACACCTAGAAGAGGGAAATCCCCGACGCAGTTAACAGTGGGAAACGCAATATCGTAGACCAGGGTGTTGTTGGCTCTCTGAACAGGTGTCACCGTCACGTTAGACACGAGGATACCATGACTCTTGAGGGCTGACGGCCGCCCCTGTGTCACTGGTGAAAGGAAACAATACAATATTTTAGGGTAATATATGTTGTGGCATTCCTTCATATTTTCCTTTATGAATACGTGTACAGACAAACACCCTCGACAGTTTAAAGAATGACAACTTTCTTTTTCCTACTATGAGTAAAAGAAAAATATTTATTTAATTTTGTCATTCTACAACAAATGTTTTTTTCTTTCACGTTCATAGACAGGTATTATTACCATATATGACCTTTAGGTACCTCTACTAGGCACCTACAGGCACCATAGAAAACCTACATCAATGACACAAGCAGTCAGTCATATGTGATTACGTTGTACAGATACACCAGCGAATCACGGTGTGGTCCTCATCTCCGCAATACTGACGGAAGTTTTCAAGTTTGAGAACTAAGTTGAAACACATCTGACTATCTTATCTTTGACACGTATTGGAGTACGTGACGAAGCATTATAACTCACCAGAAATACATGACGAAGCATTATAACTCACCTGTAATACATGACGAAGCATTATAACTCACCTGTAATACATGACGAAGCATTATAACTCACCTGTAATACTCTGATCAACGAAGGCCACCTCATCGAAGTAGATGGGGGCGTTTTTGTCTACGGGACGAGGTGGGTACACAGCCTTCACTCTCATGGGCGTCGGGTTGTACAAGTAACTGTCATCTCCCTCTTGTTGGTCGAGCAACTTCAGGCATTGATACGACCAGCTGTTACGGATGGATAGGTTAGGTTAAGTTAGGTCTCTCTCTCTCGCTCTCTCTCTTGAATTATAGGAAGGGAATTTACCTTAACAATTATATATGTAATTGTTATATTCATACACTGAAGATAATTAATAACTACTAATGCTTGACTTGTGTGTGTGTGTTAAACTAAATTGTTTCCTCCTCCCCTCTACACCCTCCACCTCCTCGTCCTCCTCTCTACACCCCCCACCTCCTCCCCTCTACACCCCCCACCTCCTCGTCCTCCCCTCTACACCCCCACCTCCTCGTCCTCTACACCTCCACACCCCCACCTCCTCGTCCTCCCCACACCCTCCACCTCCTGTCCTCACCCCCCCGTCCTCCCCACACCCCCACCTCGTCCTCCACACCCTCCACCTCCTCGTCCTCCTCTCTACACCTCCCTCTACATCTCCGCTGTATATAGAGAGATAGGAGAGACAGAAGAGAAACAGTGAGATGCAAGATAAACTGGAGAGACACACGAGACGAAATACAAGAGAGAGAGAGAGAGAGAGAGAGAGAGACGAGAAACACTAGATAGACAGAAACAAAAGGACATAGAAAGGCAAGAAAACAAGACAGATAGACAGACAGACAGACAGAAAATATTATACCTCTTCTCAGTACTGGTAAAGTTGTGTTGTATGAATGTCCTTCTCGTAGAATAACTTATACTGTTCACAGATCGTTTTGTTTCCATTATTCTTGGCCCATACAACCACACCTCCATCTTGTTCTCCACCTTACCACGGATCGCGAAGCACATCTGTAAAACGAGAATATTGATCACACCTGTCTAAGCAAATACACCTGTGTCAATTGTGTAAACTTGGATAATTAGGAGAAAGATCAGTCCCCGGCAGATGTGAGGATGAAAATTATTTTACCTCTGAACCTCTGAGTACGATGGCATGGTATTCAGGGATTTAACCCATCGTACTCAATAGGTTAAACAACATAATAAAAATATTGATCTCCCCGAAACAGAAGGAAGAGCTCTCGTGATCTTGGTATATAACTCACTTTAACCACTCAACCAAAACTACGATAATGGGATAACCTTTTTCAACTTAATTTAGTAACTTGGAAAGGGATCGTAAATCGTCGTCAGTAATGCTCATTTGTTCTTTGGTCAATAATTCTCTCTTGGGTAAACTTACAAACGATCTCAACCAAGAATAATTGTTAACTGGGAGGTTCCTCAAGCACGTATCTGAAGCTCTGAAGACCGCTAAATTGAAGCCTTTGATCGTTAGACTGTAAACAGACACATTTACAAATAACTCGATGGTATAATTGACACTTCCTACTACCTCGAACGTGTGTGTAAATTAACCAATGTTTACCGCCACCTGTTGTCAACTCACACGAGCAGTTGTAAACATTCCGTGTGGACCGTGAGATAATGGAGGACTACAGCACACTAACAGAGAGACAGACAGACAGACAGACAGACACAGACAGACAGACAGACAGACAGACAGACAATCAATAATTATGATATTTTCACTGATAATTGTCTAGACTTTTAAACGATACTTACTCTGATTTATTAATTTAACCCTACCAGTAAGTGAAAGGAGCTTAGAGATTGATTTATGACTATGGACTTTGGAGAGCAGAGAATGAAAGAGAGACAAGACAACTGAACTGATCAACAGGCAGGAGCTGGTGTGAGATCTGGTGAAACGTAAACTTTCATAGAGTTACCGCCTGTGTGTGTGTGTGTGTGTGTTGGCTTCCTTGTGTTCTCGGTCGAGTTAGCTATTGTTGTTTTTCCTTGTTTGTATACCTGCACTGCCTATGTATATTTTTTGTATACCTGCACCGTCTGTCAAAAAATACACACTCAAAAACAAATACATCAAAAATCAAGGTTACTCTACCAGGCAGCATTACAGACATTGCATGAATCTTTTAAAGTGACAGACAGACAGACGGACGGACGGACGGACGGACGGAAGTTGCTGGTGAATATTTTACAGTTCCCACCAAGTCACAAACACAACAGACATATCATAATAGAGTTAATATATATATACCATGATGCCGATTGTAAACGGTTTAAATACTGATTAATATTCATAAGTTCTATTTGTATTATTAAGCAAATTTTGGACAGATTTGCCACCATACAGCACTCTTACAGTATAGGTCAAGACAATGTGATTCAGGACACAAGATGGAGGATAAGAGAGGCGATACTCACATAACCATACGTATACGGATCGACCATCTTGCTGTAATGGCTCTGGTAGTACATGAAGTTGTAGTTGACGAATTGGGATGAAAACCTGTGGAAATATTCTCATGAATTTAGTTGAACGTATTTATTAGGGAAATACCTGGTAATTACAGTGACCAACACCTGTACCTTATGCTAGAGGTAAATAGAGTAAGGGAAAGAAAGACAAAGAGAGTGAGAGAAAGAGAAACAGTGAGAGAGAAAGGGTAAGAAAGTGAGAGAAAGAGAGAGATACACTGGAGAAAAAACAGTGCTGGTACATGTGTCTACTTGCCTTACCTTTCACAAGCACAAATAAGAGTGGGGGTTCAGCCCTACAAGAGAGGGATCAGAGAGGGATGCCTCGCTACTTACCTGCCACAATAGGGTTCCAAATCTTCCTTGAGGATGCCACGGTGACCACTAAATTGATCCCCTGGTTCGAAACCCGTCGCTTCGGAGAACTTAATGTCGTCTCCCTCAATCTGACACTGCTGCTCCACCAAGGACATGAGGGCCGAGCGGACCTGCGTAGATACCAAGAGTTACCTGAGTGTATGCCAGAGGTCTCATTACTCAACACCTGTGGTATTGAGTAATGTGTTGAATGAATGTCGGGAGTGTTGTTCTTATCATCATTATTACTGTTATCATCATCATCATCATCATTTATTATTATTATGACTGCTGCTGATGTTGTTATTATAATCATTGTTGACACAAGATGTACCCCACTGTATAAGACGCGTCTATCAACCAGGAAAGGAAGGAATGAAAATAAAAGTTAAAATCAATACAAAACTAATTAAAACATTTCGTGTACAACATTAACAAGACGTAGAAAGATCATGACAGTATTAGCTCACAATACCATTGATAATGTTAAGATTTAATATAAATATGAATCGTAAAGACAGTCTAGTTTAGTGCCACTCACACTACCTCATTGTATACAAAAGGTTTAGTAATTCACTGCTGTATCCTTACTGGCCCTGACAGTCCTTCAGGCCTATGGAACCCACCTTCACCTTTTTCACAACATAGATCAAAGTTATCAGTAACGCTGAGACTGTTTATCTAATCTTAAGACAGAGACACAGTTATACCGTACCTGAATGGCGTCGGAAACATTAGTGACGGGGCCAGAGGTAAACCCATTCAGGTAAAAGGACATCGAGGACACGTCTCCAGTGACCTGTAAGCGCTGGACCTCGTGCCTGACCCCAAGGAAGAGCTGGACAAACTGTCGCTCATTCTTGGCAGCGGCAGATTGTGAAGCGCTGAACTTGGCGTTGTAGTCTTCCATTTGGAGGACGAAGTTTGTATCTGTGGGCGACGTGTAGAACCTTACCATCACAACTTATTCTTTAACGACACAACAATGTAGCGTCTTTCAGGAGTATTTCATGACATGTGTTAATGTGTGGAGAGACTTAAAGCAACATATTACAATACTCGTTTAATAATTACGGGAGTGAAAAACTGGATTTATGTAATATAAGCCAAATAAAAAACTTGTTCGTATGATATATATAGCAATATGCAAGTTGCCATAAAGGATTCACTGAGTGGCCAGAGGCAAGTGTGTGTGGGGGGTGTGGTGCTCGAAGACACATCAGTACATAACCTTTACCCGCCCTCTGTATCCCACACCTAGTATTAAACCGTTCATCACGTCACACGGACACCGACCTGGAGGTATATGGATATTAAATCTTTGAACTTTCGAGCGCGCGTCTCTGAGTAGTTCTTGGTGTGTGTGTGTGTGTGTGTGTGTGTGTGTGTGTGTGTGTGTGTGTGTGTCAAATATTGATCCGTGTATGGCAATTAGTCAAACCTCCCTCCAAATTATTGAGTAAAGGTCCATTTGTCTAGTTCATAATTCAGTAACGTCAGTCGTCTATGCCTATTTACCACCTCTCTCATTATACATGTCTGTCTATCTGTGTTAGAAAGTTGTGTGAGATAGACTTACCTGATCCACTGTAAAGAATCTCCACGTAGGCTGGGGTGTCCCTCTGAAGGCTGAAGTGCATCCTAGATTGCGCTAGAGTCTGTGGAGAGGAGCAACGCTGTCACTACCACGCTCGCTCTCTCTCTCTCTCTCTCATTCAATATATATATATATATATATATATATATATAGCCTTTGAACTGTATAGATTTTATATGTGTGTGTGTGTGTATCACAACATGTAATCAGAACACAGTCACTATATAGGAATTCCATTAACAGTTAATAGTTATACATTTTATCATTACATTACGTCATTAATTATCTTTACCTGTCAATACTATAATAACAATAACAATACTAACTGTTATTAGGTGCAATTATCAAGAGAACTGATCATATGATCACAGCACAGCTCAGGTATCAGTTAATTCGTGATTAATTACAGTACACCGTAATGCAGATACAACCGTGTAATAACGTCATCAAGTGTCTAATAATGTAAGAGTATGAACAAAACGTTTAATGTTGTTTGGTAGAGCTATCGGGGAGAGAGAGAGAGACGCTGCTAGGAGAGGCCCCACAGGGAACTTCAACCTACTTTACCTGTTCATTACCTCATATAGCAGTAAAACAAGTCTAGTCTCTCTCTCTCTAAGTCACAACCAGAAAATGTGCGATTTGTAAGTTAATTGCTTCATGAAATATAAATCCCTTTACAATTTGGGCTTTAATTTTCGATGACAAACACACACACACATATATAAATACTCCCACATTACCTTATTATCGACGTTGCCATCACTAGCAATATATAGCCAGGATGTACGCGAATAAAGAGGGTGGGACAGTGAGTAATCTCCGTCGTGGGCAACCTGGAGGTGACCTGAGGAGAAGCTTCCATCAGTCATTATGGATAATAATACGTGAACAGAAAACGGGAGATAAAATACCTGAGATAACCTGGCTTTTAAATATTTACTTATTCTATAATTTCTTAACTTCACTCTTCAATTACTTAATAAGAGGTAATAAAACACAGGTACTAATTATTTACCTGTTTATAAAATGTAAGAGAGCTGCAACCTTATAGAGTGATGGTGACGGGACTTAACACAGGTGAGATTAGGACCTGGGCTATCACCTAAAGACGATAATAATCATTTAGTGTACCTGAGATCCGGACGGAGGAAGGCTTAGTTATGTTGAACCTGAAGTTGGTGGAGTTCTGGACGACTGCTGAGTAGTTTTGGTGTTCAGGAGTGAGGAGATTCTGGGCTACCTCTGTCGTCAGGTCATTGAAGAAGAGACCTTCCCATGTCTCCAGCAGCAGTCCTCTCTCACCTGTTGGACACCCACAGATATAGGTACACAGTGATAGGTAGGTAGGTAGGTACAGGTACTTTTATGAATATAATATACTTGAGACCATAACTCATCTGAGTCATGACTCATCTGATCTATGACTCATCTGATCCATGACTCGCTTGATCCATGATTCACCTGATCTATGATTCACCTAATCCTTGACTCACCTGAGGCAGGGGTAGTCTGGGACTGGGGAGGTGCCAGGCAGGTGATCCTGGTGTTATTAATCTCCTTCACCTGGCAGCTGGCACCACCTACACGCACCTGGAAAGAATAATATAACTCAGGAGAGGAAGTTTACATTTTAGACAATTACAAGTAACAATTAACCAGCTGAGGGAATACAGGAGAGGGGAAGAAATTATGACCAGAAATTACACTTTTTTTCAGCCATTTCAACTGTTCTAAAAATATTTGTTTCTTACGGTGAAATACTATCCCGTAGTCCTAGCAACACCTTATGGGTAGTGGAAACAGAGGTCGCTGAAGACTTGAGTTTTTTCGGTAAACATAGACAATTTGACTGGAACTGTAATCGACCATCATCACTTTCCCGTTCAGAGTTGTGTGAAGAGGGAGCATCCTGAACGGGAGGCGAGCAATGTATCCACTCAGCCACTGCACTCTTTTGTTAGCCAAGAGATCTTAATGCCATTGACACAAATACTGGTCACTGAACTCGACTGGGAACTTGTTGTGCTATATCAACATGTTAAATCTGGTCAAATTAACTGTTGTTTGTTCGGGCTATGCTAACCATAACACTAGGACGTACAGATGCACGGACGATAACACGGACGTACGTACACAGGACACACCATGTATCCTTAACTCTACTACCGACCAGTGCAGGATAACCTTACCTCACCAGAAGAAGACCTAACGAGGCTACTTATAAAAGGCGCACTGTCATGTATATCCATATGATGTACCAACTTATACATAACTATACGTGTATGTGGTAATACTAGAGGTGTGTGTGATGGATATATAAACCCTTATATACGTTTATCATGTAACCTCAGGAGAGAAGGCGACTTAGTTACTGTGGAGGAGATTAACACCTCTACAAGAGTTACCAGAACGGTGAGGGACCTAAGGCACGAACGGGGGTTTGTGTACTGATCACACTACGAGGACATGACGGTGCCTGACACCACCCCCTACTCCTGTGCTATGAGGAAGGCGACGCAAGACCACTGTGAGGAAGGTGACACTTAACACACTCACTGTCACCAAGATACTTACCACTGTGGCGCCGGGATGAGCGTCAAAACCAACACCCTTGATGGTAAGAAGGGCGCCGCCCCCTGAGGAGCTGGTGCGTGGAGACACACTGCTCACAACTGAGAAGAGAAGATGGTCTGTCTTATAATGAATAACTAAAAGTTCCTTAAGTTACACTGAGTTAGGCAAAATTGGTCCTCGTGTTCAATTATCCTTATTAATTTAAACTCAGTATAAACTTTTTAACTTTAATTGCGATAAAGGAAAAGAAATTAATATACTGTATATATAATATTGGGTTATCAGTGTAATGGATACTGTGGCTGCTACCCTCTTACCGGTCATACTGAAGAATACAATTATTACCTGTATAATGTACTAAGGAATTAAACAACGCACCAGATTAGGAATATGGTAACTTAAAATGTAGAGCAATGGAGCAATAATTAATAGTGAAAAACCTGACGTGTACGTGTGTGTGTGTGTGTGTGTCCGTCCTTCGAGAGAGTAAGATTAATATTAAAATGTACACGGTTCCACTGTGTGTCGAATGGCTTAACAGTTCAAAACCCCTGGATGATACTTCCTTCCCTCACAGTACCTCTACACTATAAATGATAATCTAAACATTATCAAAATATACACAAATATAAAATAAAAACACAATGTTGATGATTTAACACAATAATTATATATAAAAAATAATGCACTGTGAAATTAAACCCCCAAAGAAGATGTATATGAGCCCCAATAAACATTATGTGAACTGTTTGACCATAGCGAGGGGAAGTAGCCTTAACGACGAGAGGTATACCTACTGTAGGCCAGTCTATAGTACAGCAGGTAGCCAACCAAGAGTGACTCATTAAGGTGACTCACCGGAGGTAGTTATGGTGACTCAACAAGGACAGTTACAGTGACTCACCAAGGACAACAGTGACTCACCAAAGACACAGTGACTCACCGGGGAAGGTGTGATATTGATAAAGACGGTCTTGGGCATCCACATACAAGCTCCAAATTGCGTTGACTGAGTTCCCTCGGGTGGTCACGTACAGGGAGGTGTTCATAGGCCCGGCGTACGTGCTAAGGACCTTACATACGAGGGAGTATCTTGAAAATGGTCCGTAGAGTTCGTCAGTGGTTGTGTTGTGCATTTCACATTCTTGCCCTCCCATGTACACCCTTGTCAGTGGAGATAGTAAGTGCTTCAGCTCATGGCGAGTGGGAAATATTTCAGGTCATGATGAGTGGGAGGGGCTATAGGTCATGATGAGTGGGAGGCGCTCTAGGTCATGATGAGTGGGAAGTATTTCAGGTCATGAGTGGAAGGGGCTATAGGTCATGATGAGTGGGAGGGGCTATAGATCATGATGAGTGGGAGGGATTTCTGGTCATGATGAGTGGGAGGGGCTATAGGTCATGATGAGTGGGAGGGGCTATAGGTCATGATGAGTGGGAGGATTTCTGGTCATGATGAGTGGGAGGGGCTATAGGTCATGATGAGTGGGAGGGCTAGGTCATGATGAGTGGGAGGGATTTCTGGTCATGATGAGTGGGAGGGATTTAGGTAATTTTTTTACAAAGAAAATTTAATTGTTTTTTGGATGAAAGAGAAAAATATAAGAGAGAGAGAGAGAGAGAGAGAGAGAGAGAGAGATAAAGAACTCACTTGGAAAGGATGACACTGGATGTTACTGAATTCAGAGGATCTGAGGTGTTGATCAGCTGGTAACTGTTGGTGAAGAACCATCCTGTCACCTGCACCATCTGCCCGACCACGTCCCATACTGGCATCACTCCCCTCACACTCGGACCAAAACTAGCCACGTACTGTAAACCACCAAAGTCTCGTGGAAAAAGTCTCGTGGAAAAAGTCTCGTAATGTTTATATGTTTGATAGAGATTCGGCAAAAATATCAATAAGTTAAAGTTTCATGCAAAAATATCCCAATCAAAATTGTTGTATAATGATAATAGATATAAAAGTACAGTTTAACAAAATAGAACCGTGTAAATAAAGTTTCACATAAGACCTCAGTATATGAAAAGCTTCAAATAAAAACACCGTCGCTGTATGATAAAAGTTTCATTAGTTTATTTATATATGACAGGTATTTCGCCTAAATGACACTATATTCAACATCCAGTCTGTCTGTCTGTCTGTCTGTCTGTCTGTAACTCGCCTTTACTTTGTATCCCTCCACCTCGTCTCCATCAACAAACGCCTTGATTGTATACACCTCTGGAGCCTTCATGTTGGTTCGTGGTCTGTGGTGACGAGAGTTGTGGCAGATGTAATACAAGTACAGTGATAATAATACCAATAATAATAATAATATACACCCATCTACACCCACCCCTACCCACCTACCCACACCCACTTGTCATTTGGCTATTGTGGTGTCCCCCCATTGGTGAGTACATGGGTCTTATCGAAGAGTCAATACACATTCAGACACAGCCAAGGTTCGTGACCTTTCCAAGTGAGGTCCTACGTTATAATCTCTGAACAGTTCCTGGTCCATTTGCTGCTGTTCGACACCACAACTGCAGCAGGGTTAAGACCAGCCCCTACCAACCATTGAATAGACTATCACACACACTAATTAACTTGTACGTTCACCCCACGTTTTCTCCACTTTTTTTTTTTGTACCGAAACTTTTTGTTAAATTCATTCCCTGTGTAATTTATTTATGGTATTTAGTAGAATTGTGTGTATTTTCAGTCTTATGGTAATTGTCTCTTAGTAATCCCTCCACACACTCTCTCTCTCTCTCTCTCTCTCTCTCTCTCTCTCTCACACACACTCACACACACTTCACTGACCTTGTATTGCAGACAATCCTGGACGTACTGGTGAGATGGGTAATAACGTCACAAGGAATGGTGTCAACCTCGTTCACCAAGACGACTTTATTGCCAAGTGTTGGGTCAAACTGGTTAAACTGGTCCTTACTGAAGCCTGTTACGGGAGAGTTAACCCCTTGAGTATGATAATTTAACCTGTTAAATACGATGTGTTTAGTCCATTGAGTCCGTCATTTAACCTCTTGATCACGAGACTTAAAAACTTACTAAGTGTTAAGTCCTCGTATTAAATAAGTCCACGTACTCTAAATGTTAAGTCATCGTGTACAAGGAGTTAACACCGTGTAATGTAACGAAACAATGGTATAATTAACATATAACCCAACATATTACCCTATCATCATCATCATAATATAGCATAACCGTATCATAATATAGTTAACATTCATCAAAATAATAATATAACACTATACGTAAACTAATGTGTTTTATATCGATCTTGTATATGAAAACGTTAAAATAATTTTTTTTGTATTATTTAACGCAATAATTTAACTTGTTCAGGAGTCAAATGAGTGTCTCGTGAACTTGGGGTAATTTGGCGCCTAATGTGTCAAGGTTCCAGGAATAATAAGCATCGAGCAGAGAATCGTAGAGGAGTCGAATGCGATTTAAAGCCATTGAAACATAAGTGAAATAGGTTTCGGTGAGACAGAGTGAATTTATCAATGATGCTATAACACCGCATTAATTATTATTATCATTATTATTATTATTATTTCATATATACGTTCCAGCGATACTTAGCAAATGGGTTAAAGGGTAAACAAATATTTAAGAGTTTACGCTTGAAGTAACATCCAAAAAAATATCCAAAAATTGCCACAACGCCAAAATGTTAAAACTAAGGTTTTTCACAATAAAAAAATACTCGTAATTTAAAATAAATTGATCAATAAACTGTTCCTAGAATGACTGGAAGAATGAATAATGGCGGACGATGATTAAACCTTGAAGCAGGAAAAGCTCATAATCCTCATATTAAAACTTACATTGAACACTCTACCCCACGTAAACATTACCTGAAGTCACAAACGATATATGTCTGACACTTCACACCTCACAACTGTACGATTATTATGGTGAAGTAGCCATGAGCAGCACCCCGGACTACACAGCCTCGCAGCCTGTCACTACTGAGTCGTATAGGGAAGAACAGCCACGGAACAAACCTATACTGTCAAGCCACCAACCTGAGACTCATGAACCTGTGAATCCGAGACACCACACATTGTTAAGGCCATAGATGGTGCACTGGGTCGTGTGATGTCTCGGATTCACAGATTCATGCGTCTCAGGGTTCGTGGATAGGCTGAGAGTCAGTTTTTCCGAGACTCCACATACTCAGACGTGAAACTATTAGGGTATAATACTCAACACACACATTACACAATACATATAATATATTACACAATAATCGCAACACCTAAAATAAAAAATGAAACACAAAGTAGAACTCCGGTCCAAACCTAAATAAATAAATCTTACATAACACTTAGTAACTTGTCTTAAGAGAATGTGGGACTTGAGGATATTACCAAGCTAGAGATGAGGGTGAGTGAGTACTGCTTGAGTGTAAGGTTATTAGTAAGTGATGTTTGAGGGTGAGGTTATGACAGGAGGTTAAGCTGTAACTTGAGTAAGGTAGAGGTGAGGCGGCAGCTTGTGGTCTACTTGTTGTCATAGTGTGAGGTCAGGAAGGCACACCGGGAGGAGAGTAAATACACTAACTAAATACGTGTTTTATTTTGTTGAGTAAATATCTATATTAAACATGAAATAAATCTGAATAAGTATTAGTAAATACCGAAATCAGTTCTGCATATATAGAAACAAATAAGGTAATTACCCTTTAAATCTATATTAAGAGGACGCCATCTATTGGGCTAAATTAAAAACTGAGAAAGAAACGCAACACCAGTCAACACGGGTATAACAGTCATACAAAAACCCAGAAATAACGTACAGTACAGTAATAGTTTTCAGTGCTGTCTCTATTCTTAAACATGGATACATTTACTTCAAAATCATAAAATGAAAATAGATGGACTTCTGAACATGGAAAAGTATGAAGGGTGACGACCTGTTTATTTTATGAAGTTCCTGAATACATTCATTAATATTCCCTGTACTCATCAATAAAATATCTTTACTTCATCGTTGCATAGTGTTGTTACATGTTCCTCCATGTATTATGTTCACTATAGTTACTTGATCACTACTCGTTATTAATGTTATTGAATTTCTGGAGGTAATAATGCCCTCACATCGTGTGAACCATCTTACAGGACACGATACATCCCTTACATATGATCACACTAAAGGCGGCGGCACACTGGGCACTTTTCCTCCCAACATGTTGGGCAAACACGGACCGGTCAGCAAAACAAAGAGACGTTTGCTTCACTCTGGAATGTTTTGTTAGGTTAAGTTTGGTTCTGGTCCTAAACTCGATTTACCAACGGAAGTTCAGGATATTAATCAGAAGACATGTCACTCACTCACTCACGTAGTGATACCTGACACTTAGCGAGTATGAGCATTTACCCATGCAGTCTGCGACGAGACTTTGTGGAAAATACATAAGAAGGATTCCTGTGGTGGTTCATGTTCACACTCAACAAGGCTTAATACACAGAGTCTCAGCAGGTAACAACGAAGGGATAATGTTCACCTGTACAATACCTCACACGCATATGTCTGAAATCTCATAATGTGTTAGTTGATAATAACAAAATATCTTGGTAATCTTCTCTTATGTCTTTAGGAAGGCAGGAGAGGAGGCGGTCGTACATCAGCCGTGTGAGGATGTGGCTTCACCGATCAATCAAGGCAGTCAACATCGACCTCGAGGGAAATCATACAAGAGCGGACATCACCCTGATACTTCATGCGTGTGAGACAGTCAACCGAAGCCATTACGGACACAGATGACGTATTTATGCTACCATGCTATAAATAATGTACAAATGGTCACCAATACAGTCAACAGAAGGACGTTGCCTGGTGTCTGCTGCAGCCACGACATAATGTGGTGAACGGCTGTGATGCAACCCCTTGGAGCCTTCCTTGTCCATCTTTAACTTGGTGTATCAACATTTATGATCATTTAGGTGCAGTATATTTATTTTTTTATACTATTAGTGTAATGTTCGCAAAGCCTGTAGTGTGGACAGACAGGCCTTTAGTCTTTTGTTTTCATAAAAGTTTTTGTTGACAGATGGCGCTCAGTGAATAAACATTTGAATAACAAAGGTCAATTCTAATCCTACTATCTGTTTAGTATCATGATTGTTTTTTTTTTATTTCAGGTGTAATATTTAGTTATGTTAAAGCGGACATCCTGCGTAAAGTTTTCTATCAAGTAAAGAGTATTCCTGCCCAGTGATGACGTCATCTTTACAGTTTGAGTTATCAGTAAAGGCTATCCAGGGTATTCGAGTTATTGATGATGTTTGATAACTTGTTCCACTCGTCCACTACTCTATTTCCAAACTAATTTTTCCGATCTCGCGCCTAAATCTAAATTTGTCGAATTTAAAAACAGTGCTAAGAATTCGTTCCTGGTTGGATAATTTAAGAACCTTTGTTATGTCACCTTTGTTTAGCCCTGAATTCCATTTATACACTTCTATCATATCGCCCCTCACTCTACGTCTTTCGAGAGAGTGCAAATTCAGATGCATTAACCTGTCTCTGTACTCAAGGTTCCTAATGCCCGGGAGTAGTCTTGTCATTCTCCTCTGTGTGCTTTCTAGGGATTCGATATCTATTCTGTAGTACGGTGACCAGAACTGAACTATAGAATCCAAGCGAGGTCTCACAAGCGCTTGTCTTGTAACTAACACTCCTTTGTATGAACCCAACTACTTTGTAAGCCTTGTTTCGAGCAAATACACATTGTTGTCTTGGTTTAAGATTCCTACTTATCATTACTCCTAAATCTTTCTCACATTCGGATTTCTCTATAACATCGTTGTTAATCTGATATCTGGTTTCTCTGTTTACATCTCTGAGACTAAGTACTTTACATTTACCACATTAAATGTGATCTGCCATTTTTCAGACAATGCGATTTTTTTTTATCTTCCTGTAGTTTTGCGGAGTCTTTGTCATATTTAATTACTCGCCCTATTTTAGTGTCGTCAGCAAATTTACTTACATTGTTGTCTACGTCTATATGTATGTCGTTTATGTATATAATAAATAATAATGGTCCAAGTACTGAGCCTTGGGGTACTCCACTAGTGACGTCACCCCAATCGGATTTAGTGCTTACTCGCTGTTTCCTGTCCTGTAACCACGCCCTGATTCACTTTAGAGTATCTCCTCCATTTCCATGACCCACCACTTTACGCATAAGTCTTTCGTGGGGACTCTTTCGAATACTTCGCTAAAGTCGAGATAAAACACATCATAATTGTACCCGTTGTCCACTGATTCAAAAACAGTTGAAACGAATGTTAATAGATTTGTCAGACATGAACGCCCACTTGTGAAACCATGCTGGAATCATTGATCAATTTGTGCTTCTCGGGTTATTAATGACTTGTTAAAGAGGTTTGCTGAGGGCATACTAAGCTCTTCCTTACATTACTTTAATACTCTGGCAAATATCTCGTCGGTACCTGGAGACTTGCTAGGCTTTAGTTTGTCTGTTTGTTTACTAACATCGTTACTAGTCACTACTATCTCGCTTAATCTATTTTCTTCACTATCTCTGTATATAGTCGGTGCCTCGGGTATCATTTTTAAATTTTCGGTGGTGAAAACTGTTAAAATATATCTGTTCAGATTATTGCTCATTTCTCCGTCGTTATCAGTTAGCTCGCTGACTGTATTGGTCCAATCTTGTCTCGTGTTTTAGTTTGGTATATTTGGAAAAATCCCTTGGGGTTTGACTTCGCCTCCCTTGCTACCTTCAGTTCATTATTCTTCTTTGTTTTTCTTATCTCGGTCTTAACCCTACCGGCCAATACTTTATAATAATCTCGGAGGTAAACTTCACCACGATTTATTCTCCTACCTATAGCCTTCCTTTGTCCTTATGTTGCCTCACGAGGTGTGGTGCAGGACGCCCGGTAATAAACACAACACAAGCCGCAGAAAAATGATGACTGAACTTGTTTACAAATATGCATGAGACCAATCAGTGGTCGCCCCCAACAGTAATGTTATAATAATGACCGCCCTTCATGTATGAATCTCTTTAAGGTGTAGAAGCTGTCGTTAACGCAACAACCACACTCTAAGTTAACGATATGCATGACCCAGTGTCAAGGAATAATCAGAGAAGACCGGACAACTCGCCAACTCGCTTGAGAGATGAGCAAGCTAACCACAAGTCGAGTACATATAAAACACACCAATCAGTTGATCTGAGATATAATGGACAGAAGAATCAGTTAGGACACAGAGTTTCAGTAAAGTCAGTAGAATACATTGACGAGTAGGTTAACTAGTGGTGAAAATGGTAAATAAGAAAGAAAATGGTAACAATCATCTTACCGTAGCCGTCTATGTAGAGCAGAGTGCCGCCTGCCATACTCACAGACACTGGCCACGATTTGGTGTAAATATACGCGCACCTGCCAAAACCTGTAACAGAGCAGCTGTTAGAGTCTCAAGGGTAATGGTGGTTGGTAATGGTGGTTTGATGATGGTGGTTGATGATGGTGGTTGATAGTAGTGGATGATGATAGTGGTTCATCATGGTGGTGATTAATGGTGGTAGGTAATAGTAGTTTAATAAAGTGTTCGACAATAATGGCACTACTATAATTGCATTTCTAGGTTGGTGTTATACTGAAGGTACTGCTAGAGAGGTACTTTCAGGTAGGTACTGCTAGAGAGGTACTGTCAGGTAGGTACTGCTAGAGAGGTACTTTCAGGTAGGTACTGCTAGAGAGGTACTGTCAGTTAGGTACTGCTAGAGAGGTACTTTCAGGTAGGTACTGCTAGAGGGGTACTGTCAGGTAGGCACTGCTAGAGAGGTACTGTCAGGTAGGTTCTGCGAGAGAGGTACTGTCAGGTAGGTAATGCGAGAGAGGTACTGTCAGGTAGGTACTGCGAGAGAGGTACTGTCAGGTAGGTACAGCTAGAGAGGTACTGTCAGGTAGGCACTGCTAGGTACTACAGTAACTACAAGGGCCAGTGGTACTCACCCACTGTTAAAGCCGCCACTAGGGCAGCCAGCGGTATCGCCCTCATACCGGTACACCTGTAGCATGGAATAATGTGGTACACCTCAACAGTAAAATACAGCTCATACAATAAATAATAATATATAAAAATAGAGAAAAATATAGTTGCTTTAGTTTTGATGTAGAAACTCAATTGATATTACAGATTACAGGCTATGCAATACAGTAGATTTCAGCACATGACAATTGAATACACCATATTTCAGTACAGTAAAGTGCAGTTAAAGACATGTTACAGAAGACAGTACAGTAGAATTTATTTTCAGTACAATACAACACACTATTAAGCGAGACGTCTCACTCGCTTATATTTACTCACTGTCTAAACTGGTCCTGTACCCAAGGGTCTAAACTAGTCACGTTCACTCATCATCTCAACTGGTTATGTTCAAATGTAAATACCAGGAAGGAGCCGCCTCACCAACAAGTAATAAGAGCTCACCTGTGTCGCCTTTATTATCAGGAACAGCAGGTATACAGGTGTGCTGAAGGTAATGAGATTCAACACACCTGTCTGGAAGCACAATAGAACGCACGTGACGGCGCACCAAGAAATTTGTTCCACCAGATAATGATTTTCACACCCAGCTGTTGTGAGGAAGACGTGGTGATGTCTGTCTGTTGATCTTTCTGTCCGTATGTCTGTTTGTCTGTTGATCTTTCTGTCCTTATGTCTGTCAGTCACGTTCTGTCTAATGTATATCCACTAGAGCAGCTGTCATAGGTGAAGTTATTATATCGGTGTTGCCAGATGAGAAATCCTTCCCTTCTTTCACCCAACACTGCCACCATTCCTTCCTTCCTTCCTTCACCCAACACTGCCACCATTCCTTCCTTCCTTCCTTCACCCATCACTGCCACCATTCATTCCTTCCCTCCTTCACCCTTCACCATCGACAACAATAAGGTTACAGAACGCTAAAATCAAATTCAACATTGTCCTGGATCATCACATAACGCATTGACCAACTCATGACAATCTCACCCATTCCGTCTTTTGGTATACCACAACATGCAACAAGGAGGTACTCAGTGGTTACCCCGTTTCTTTGGTTGGTTGGTTGGTTGGTTGGTTGACCGGGTTATGTTTCAAGATTTTTTTTTTTACTGAGATAATATGGCACATATCCACTAACAACGTATAGTACATACTGGCCTGATAGAGGAGCCTCTCCTCCTAACTTCAAAGTGAAGAGACAATTCCACCCTATGTACCTCCCCCTAGTGTGTATGTGTGTGTGTGTAAATCAATCACCACTACTAAGTCAGTTCTGTAGTTATTTACAAATAAGTCACTGTACAAAGTGTTGTGTCGTATAGTGTATAGTGTACAACACATAATACTAGTGTAGAGTACAAGATACAGTGTACAGGTAGAGCGAGAAGTGAATGAATGAGAGGGAGCCACGGGTGTCTAGTTCGCCTGCCTGCCTCAAACACAGGTGTCATGGTCACACCTACTCAGTACAACACTACACTACACCAGTTTAACCCAACACATGTGTCATAGAGTGTCACACACCTACACAACACAACGCCTATCTAACTCTCATCTCTTTACCTGCTGTGAGAATATATTTCATTATGTCTATTTCACCCTGAGCTAGGTGCGAATATGACCAGATATAAATAATAGCTAAATAAATTTATATATGTACATCAGCTATTAATTTGAAGCTTAGAATATGTAATTGAACAATTATTTATATTATTATAAGAATTATTTGAGTTAAATATCGAATGTACAGTACAGTGAGCCACAAAAGTCTTGTAACCTTCCCGCGTCTTACTAAACCGAAGCTGCGTCATTATACCGCCATCTGTGGTTCAGCTAACAAACTACATCACGTTGGCTGAGTTCTTTAACTTTCCTCTCTGTGTCTGTTGCTGAGCTTATGATATACTCAGAGAGTCAGTGTGTGTTGTTGACCAGTGTTAAGCCTTCACAAAACTGTCAAGGCAAACTTTTTTGGAGTGAGTGTTGTGAATTCTTGGAACAACTTGTGAGTATTGTGACGGCACCGAGGTGTGAGCTCATTCATGACCAAACTTGACTAACACTGGCGCAGGTACAGATACATTTTGGAGACAGTATATGCCCAGTAGTGTATTTGCCAACAGTGCGGAACAGAGACGTGACCGACCGCCCAAGAGGCTTCAACAGACCGATCAGTGGCGAAGAGGATAAAGTAAAGTAAAGTAAGCCTGAACAAACCCTGCCTGGTGTTGCCCCGATCTACGCTCTGGCAGTCCACTTTGGTGTGGTAAGTAAATTCATCTTTGTTTTTAGTTTAATTGTAATATAAATAAATTTCATAAAAGTTCGTAAGGTGGAAGAAATGGCAAAGTGTAAGGGGTGAGGAGGAGATACCAGGTGAAGGGCGTACTGTTTATAATTCATATATAACAAAAGCTTTTATTCTACTTCATGACAATCTTCCACTATGGAGTTGTACCGAGCTTTGTGTTGCTTATGACGTCATTTACTTTCATATTTGTGTTGCTAACCTTAGACAATATTACGGCCTTTATAGTTGATAATCTTATAGCCGGGACATGTTACCGGATGTTTGTACTTGACTGTAGATTATGTTACTCTTCAGAATTATAACACATGCAAGAACATTACCAATTTACAGTCAGTTCCTGCTAAGTGCGTCTCCTTCTCTTCCTTTTGTTCCTCTTCCTCCTCTTCTTTGCTCTCCTCCTTCTACCGTCTCCCTCTTCTCCTCTTTATCCTCCCTTTTCCCCCCACTTCCTCCTCCTTCTCATCCACCTCTTTCTTATTCTTCCTCCTACCCCTGCTAATGACGGCGGCTACACTAATAATCACCAGTCGCTTTTTCATTTCCCTTCCCCGCTTGGCGCTCTCTCTCCCTCTCCGATATTCCCACACTCCCCACCTCACACTCCTTAACTTCGCCTCATCACTCTCCCTCCCCCACACTCCCTCCCTCCCCTTAACCTCCCCATACCTCAGATACCGTGGCTCCCCAGATAAAATATTACGGGTCATTTTTCCTCGAGCGCTGCCCATCACAGCCACCACCCGCCTGGCTTCATTCACTCAGGAATTTTTTGATAATGTCTCTCCGCCTTGACTGTTCCCACGCCAAGCCAGGATCACTAACCTAGGTGAGTGGTGCCTGAGGAAAACACTTAGCCTGGGGATTAGGTTAGGTTAGGATAGCGTGGTGGTTATATATCTATGACCATTTAAAGTGTACTATATCCAGTTATCGCTCAGGAACTAACTTGTCCAACAACAACAATACTCGACCATAAGATATTTTTCCCCGCCACCATATGGATATTTACCTCGATTTACCACACCATGTTTAACTCAAGTGTGTTTAACTTAAAATTAGAGGTTGCGAGTCCCTTTAGTTTTTGAGAGGGAGAGCAGAGAATGCACTCAAAATTCCCTAGCTGGAGACTAATGTTGAGGTGTGTGTGTGTGTGTGTGTGTGTGTGGAAACAATATCAAAAATGTATAAAATTAATTCAGAAAATGATAATTATTACAAGTACTTTATTTCCATCTTTATTGTTACTGTTATTCTTTTATTTCTTTATCGATATATTTTCATTTATTCTTTATTATTTATCCTGTAGTTCCTTCTTTTGTTATCTTATCTCTCTTCTTCCCTCTTACACGTTTTTCACCGTATCTCTTGCCTCCCTCTCACCTCCCTCACTCTCACCCCCTCACTCTCGCCTCCCTCTCACCTCCCTCACTCTCACCCCCTCCCTCTCACCTCCCTCTCACCTCCCTCATTCTCACCTCTCACTCTTACTTTGAGAGTGGAGGCCAAAAGAAGCACTGGAGATGTCCGAGGAGGATTAGAGACTCTTAAGAAGGATTAGGACAGGTTAAGAAGGATTAGGGAGCGTTGTGGAAGGTTAAAGGGGATTAAGGAGCGTTTGGGAGAATATAGAGGGAGATTATGGTGGCTTAGTGATTATTGGGGTAGATTAAGGAGGATTAATGAGGATTAAGGAGATATTATAAAGGATTAGTGAGGATTAGGAAGGATTTTTAGATTAGGGAGGGTTAAGGAGGATCAGGGAGGACTAGGGAGGACCAGTGAGGGTCAGGGAGGACTAGTAAGGGTCAGGGAGGATAAGGGAGGATAAGGGAGGACTAGTAAGGGTCAGGGAGGATAAGGGAGGACTAGTAAGGATCAGGGAGGATCAAGGAGGACTAGTAAGGGTCAAGGAGGATAAGGGAGGACTAGTAAGGGTCAGGGATGATCAGGGAGGACTAGTAAGGGTTAGGGAGGATAAGGGAGGACCGGAGAATGTCAGCGTAAAATTAAGATATATTTTGTTTCAATCACAGACTGAGTTTGAGGAGCGCCTCTTACCCTCTGCTTGTATACGTCGTCCACTGATGATGCCTTAAATATTTGACGAGTAGGAAGGGTAATTTCAGGTTATCCATCATGCATTTAGTCGTCCTTGAACTAAAAATGGTAATTAGCGTATCCTGCCAAACGGCCAGACCGGAAGTCACTTATTTATTAGGTAACTGTTGGATAGCTGTTCTTTTAACGACCATATCCAGTTTAACTTGTTTGTCTCTCCCAGTTGTCAATAATTTTCATCCACTTTTTAATACGTCTGTGTCGACATTCAGTGGCAGTCATAAGGCGTCGCTCACGTTACCTAGCGCTTCATCCCTGTATTAACATCGCAGTAGATATTTCATGGGTTATGGTGCTAATTTAAAACGTGTGGCAATTGTAACTGTCCTGTAAAATTACCAGTTTTTATGAAAAGACGACATGTACCGGTTTATGTTGTGGCAGGATAACGAAATGGCAAGCAATTTTTTTTCTAAATATTTGACTAACTCATAACTTGTCTAGCTTAGGTTTGGTCAATTAGATCAAGTTGTACTTTATGTGATGAATATTGAAAAATTTAAACAGTCAATGAATAATAAAATGTGACGTAACGTACAGTAATTTACCTCCCCCCCCTATTGTCAGCTGGCTCTCAGTAGTTGACGTCAGCTGTCTCAGTCGGCTGTCAACATTGTAGCCTTCAGTACTCCACACCCTG